TAGAGTCTCAAGCCTTCTCTTCAAGGAATGAATTGTGCATCCTTTGTCTGATGTGTTGCACTTGTTTATTACTTATAACGTGTAAGGTGGTTGTCTCGTAGGACAGAATGCATCCGCCTTAGTCCTGGGTGCTAATCCTGATTCCATCACACAAGTTACATGCATTGGGCAGTGACAACCTCTGCAAACCTCAGCTGCTTCCTCTGTAAAGTGGTGATAACATTGATCTCACCGGAGTGTAGTGGATTCCTCACAAAAAGCGCCCGCATGTCACACCAGAGGGTCAGTACGCGGTGCTTTCCCTTCCCTTAACTCCCTCTCTCTCCTCCTCCTCAACCCTCCTTTCCTCTCTCCCTTTCTCTTCTCTTTCCTCCTTCCATCCTTTTTCCAGAAGCTCTTAAAGAAGCCAAGATCCCAGCTGTTGTTGTTGTTCAGTTGCGCAGTCGTGCTGGACTCTTGGTGACCCCTCGGACTGCAGCACGCCAGGCTGCCCTGTTCTTCACCATCTCCTGGAGTTTGCTCAAACTCACGTCCCTTGAGTTGATGGTGTGATCCTAGCTACCCAGAGGCATTACGCCCCTCTGAGGTGGTGAGCTGCACTTCCTACCGGGGAGCTTTCTCAGCTCCCTAAGCAGGGGGACTGCAGGGCGGACGGGGGGTGCTCCTTAGAGGCTGATGCAGGAGGGGCCGCCCCCTGAATTCTGGAACTCCAGCCTAGAGGAGTGTCTCATCCAGAGGTGGCAAGCCAACAGCTTCCAGGCTACACAGCCCACAGAAGTGTCTGGCGTGGCGCACAAAGAGCTCCAAGTCAAAAGCAGTTGCCCATATTAAAAAAAAAAATGAGAGACTTCACATTTTAAAGACTTCAGATTTCTTGTACCCAAGGAAACAGGGAAAATCTGGCCACACCGAGCCCACATTTCCCCGCTGTCACTCTCAGCTGGCGGCTCCCCCGCTGGCAGCCAGGGTGTTTCTCCCTTGACCACAGTCCCCACCAATCTCTGCAGCCTCTCCAGCCTTAAGCCCGAGGCATATTTCCATCCATCACAGAGAGTTTGCATTGTCCTATTGATTACATTAGAGGAAGGTTTCTCTGTACCTTCACTGCTTTCCAAAGTGCGTGTGTGCAAAGAGGCTTGAAAAGGGGGAGAACTTGAAAGAAAGGAAAAGGACAGAGTGTTTTTCTCTGAAGGTAAAACATATGGCTACACAAGAATTTCTCTGGATATATATGCTAAGATTCCAGCTACATGAAGTTCAAAAGTAAGCAAAACCAACAGAAGAGACCTTAGCGGTGGAGGCGCTGCCTGGCGTGGAAAGGGGAGGACTGTCTGAAAGCTGTAAAGGTCCCCACCCCGATCTGGACCTCACGAGTGGATACAGCAAACTGACCAAGCCTTATGCTTAAGATTAGCATGCAAGCTTTATATCAATAAGAAAGTGACTGCATTTGCGATAACTTATTTCTTAGCTTGGGTAGCACATACATGGGCATTTGTTTTATTTTAATCTTTCTGTCTGATGTATTTACACCACTACAGTTATGACACTTCAGTATTTAGAATGCAAAGCGACACACTTGGCCTGCTTCACCCACTGATCCCACCTGCCTGGTTCCCATCGGTTTTTGAATCTGTGACTCTTGATTTCGGTCTAGTTCACGTTTCACAGAAGGGGAAACTCTGGCACATGCAGCAAGCAGCTGCCTGGGCTCAGACTTGAACCTTGGTCCTGTGACTCAGCCACTGCAAACAAGGGCATCTGCTGTGCCCTGGGCCCCAAAGGGCACGCCAGGGTCAACACGGTGAGCATGGGCCTGCCTTCACAAAGGCCCCTCACCCTGCACGTGAGCTCAGAGTCGATATTCCAAGTTACCTAGGTGGTGCTTGTTCTTGTCGTATGTGCCAACCTATGTCTAATGCTTAAAGCAGAGCCTGCTATGTGGTGAGTGCCCAGGGTGGGCTGCAGCTGGCTCCCAGGGGCTCATGAGAGGCCATGGCGCCCACCTCTTCTGACTTGTGTTCAGCGACAGTCACTTGGAGCGCCAGCAGCCTGCTGTGGTGGGAATATTTACACCACAGCAATGGGCAAGTGCTTCACGTCAGAGGGTATATCTGTGCGGAGAGCTGGCTGTCAGCTACTTAGGCGATGGTAAATATTTCCCTTATTATTATTATCATAGAGGCTGTAGGCAGCTAGAGTTAACAGCAGCATCAGATGGACCCGGATCCCTCTTCGGTTCCTTCTAGGGAGAAGGTTTCTACGTATGAGATGACATTTCTTCTACTGGAAAAAAGGGAGACTAATTCCTACCTCCTGGGGTGTGCGCGCGCGCGTGTGTGTGTGTGTGTGTGTGTGTGTGTGGTGGGGGCAGGAGTGCAAATGAAGCCGGGAAGGTGTCTGATCCAATGCCGGATTCACAGCGGGTGTTCATTACACGTCAGGGCTCAGCTCTCACTCTCTTACACGGGGACAGTCGTGACAGTGGTTGGCGCAGAGCCGTGCCCCTTTGCCATCCCGCACTGGTGCTCGGAGCAAACCCCCTGAAAGCAGAGGGGCGACCCGGGCCGGCTCCCGCCCAGCCCTGCCGGCCCCGCAGCTGTGTCTGCAGCTCTCGCCACACTGGGGGCAAGGGTGCAGCGGAGGCCGGCGTCTCTGCCCGATTCCTGGAAATCATCAATCTCTGCCCTTCGCCCTCCTCCCTTTTTCTACCACATTTTTTTCCTCCTGGATAATGAGGCCTCCCGAGACCAGTGGAGGTCTGAACCTCGTTACGGCTCTCTGGGTAGGCCGGCATCAATAAGGACCGGGGACCTGGGCGGGGGCGGGGGTAGGCAGGCGGCGGGTGGGCGACTGAGGAGGGGGGCTTTGCAGACTTTCAAATCCCTGGATTTATTTCACCGTGAATTATAACTGAACTCTTTAGTGCCCAGGGCTCATGGAGGGGAGGGTGGAATTCAGCCGACGGGCAGAGGGCAGAGGGGTGGGGGGCCCTGGTCTGGGTCCCAGACCAAGAAGACCTCCGGCCCTGGGATGTGAGAGAGGTCTCTGGTGTCCGCTGTGTGTAGAGGCAGGCCCCCTGCCTTTGGTGCATGGGAGGCGGTGGGGGAAGGGTGCTGAGGGAGGGTGGCGTGGCACAGAAGGAGCTCCCAGTCAAGATCCTGGTGCTGCTCCCTGTGTGACCCTGGCCCAGCGCCCTCCTTCTCTGATCCTGTTTCTCCATCTGTACAGTGAGGGGCGTGTGCTGATGATCTCCATCTGCCTTGAGACTGACGTATGGCCTCTGTGTGGGCACCTGGGTGTGTACACGGGGTGCTCACTGAGATCCTATGTGGGGCTCTGAGCGGGGAGTGGGCAAAAGCATGCTGAGTGTGAAAAACAGATGAAGGCGCACAAGCTCAGGGAAACTGAGTGGTCTCTTGGATTATGTGGGAGAGTCAAGCAGAGAGGCACAGACAGATAGGACAACAGAGATGGAGGCAAAGAAGCAGGCGGAAAGAGGTGATGGGGGTCTCAGGAGAAGGAAGAGAGAAACAATGAAAACAGATGCAGGCAATTCTTGTATCTCCTTATATCCATAAAATCCTTCGTGGTGACATCTGCTCCTCTTGACAAGTGGACCGTTCATGAGATTAGCGGGATCTTCTGCAAAAATATGTGCTTGGTTGCGTGTTCTCTGTCAAAACCACATCTATCCTGACCTTGCCCTTACCTCTTGGGGGCAGTTTCTCAGAGCTATCTAAGATGCTATCTCCCGGGCTATAGTCCTCATTTGCCCCAAATAAAACTTCACTTACAACTCTTATAAAAAAGAAGAAGAAGAAAACAGAAGCAGGAAAAGGGCACTAAGTTGGAGATGGACAGAGGGTGGCGACAGAAGACAGGAAGAGAGGGGCGGCAGGCCCTGGGGTGCGGGGTCAGCAGAGGGGCTGGCCAGGTCAGCCAGCGTGGAGTGCTGAGTAAGCCCTCGCCATCGAGCCCTCAGCTCGTCTGGGAAACAGTACGCCTGCTATCAGGTTCTGCCAGCTCTCCGAGCGGGATCTGCAATGGGCAGGCAGGCAGACGGGAGCCCTCCCAGCGCCTCAGCAGAAAGGCTGGTGGAGAGACACAGCTGAATCTTCCCGGCGCCCCCATCTCCATCTCTCACATCCTCCAGTGTGCGGAGCCAACGCCCAGAGTTGACATATGGCGACAGGGATCGCTCTGCCCCGGAGGACACAAGTGGGGTCCACGTCGGCTCTGGGGGCCCTGACTGATCAGCTGACACGTAGGAACACGGGGCTGGCCAATTCTGATGGGAACGCGGCCTTCCACACACACCTGGCACTGTGGGGCAAGCACAGCCCTCGGACTCAGGCTTGGGGTCGAACCCTCCTACCAGACCACTGTCCACCCCTGAGGTCTAGTGTCCATGAGGAGAGGATGCAGACAGTGGCCCTCACTCCACGGGACCATCCTGAGGTGTAAACAGACTTGTGTGCTAAGTGTTGGGTGCACAAACACGGGAGGTGCTCCATACACAATCGATATTACTAGTTCCCCGTATCACATATGAGTTGCTTTCCACCACACAAGTGAAGTACAAGAAAGATACCAGAAACCCTGTCTACGGACTGTCCAAGAGCTTCTACCGGAGAAGCCCTGAGCCCTGCCCCGATGAGTGAGGACATTCCCGTCAGCAGACGCAGCTTTGGGGTCTTCCCTGCTCCTTCACCCTAGTTGTTCTTGGAGTCTCAGTCTCCTCATCTGCAAACGAGGTGCCTCATCCTCTTACTCCCTGGCCGTCATCAGGACTCAGTGGGATGGTGAATAACAGCCTTGGCACAGGGGGTGCCAGAAGGGAAGGACTAAACGCTTAAGGCTTGGAGAAATGACGGTGAACCAGTGCCCACCCCGCAGAGCGGGTGTGGCCGTCAGATGCTTTCACCTACGGAGAGGGACTAGTGCAGGACCAGGGTGTGTAAACGGTCAACGAGGTCATTTTCCTCCCAGTCACTCACCTGTACCCGCGTGGGGTTCAGCCAGTGGGGGATGTCACGGACGGTCACGTTCACTGGCAGGACGATGGACTCGCTGTTGTGGTCCAGGCAGGAGGTGGTGCACTCTGACCCTGCGGGGAAGCAGAGAGGGAGGTGGCGGCTCAACCCCTGTCTCCTGATGCCAGGGGCCGCCCCCTCCCCGCACTGGAATGGACCCGGCTGCTCCCTGGACCCCATTGGTCTGGGCCATCCCACCTTCAGGGACAGCAGGAAAGAGAGAACCCCCCATCCCTCCGGGAGGGCCACGTCTGGTCTCCCTGACGACTCTTGTCTCCAGTGCAGCTGACGCCCACCGCCACGCTCATCAGCCCTGAGCCCAGTTTGGTCTTACTCCTCCTCTGCTCAGAAACCCTTCCAGGGGTGGCCCACATCCAGGAAAAAGTGCAAAACACACCCCTTTGTCCAGCATCCATGGCCTCCCACAGTCTGGTCAACCTTATCGCCCGTGAACCACCTCACACACACCCACCAACTGGACTGCGCTTGGTTTTCCACCCGAACCCCCCAGTCACGGCCTCTAAACTCTTGTCCCTGTGTATCCTTTCTCCTGACTTGTCCCACTGATCGGCCTTCTCAAGGTCAAATCCTACCAGCTCTTCAAAGCCCACTTCAGATCCTCCAAGAAGCTTGCCCTGATCTCTGCAGCTGAGTGAGAGCAGCATTTGCCGTTGGTGAATCCCACTCCCGCACTGGCCGTGGCCCCCCGTCCCTCCTCTCCACAGCTACAGTAATGCCCTAGGAGAGGAAGGATGGGGTCGCATCCTCTCTGAGCCTAACGCAGCGCCTGCACACAAGGTCTGCTCTGTGGGCATCAGCCGAGGGAAGGGTGAGCGTGTGGATGCCACATCAGCGTCTTAACCACACTCTCCTCCCCCCAGGGCTTGTGTTCACACCCTCCTCTGTGCTTTCAAGATCCTTCCCACCCCTCTTCAACTAGTGCATGACAATCAACGATCTTTCAGACCTTAACCCAAGTGCCCTTGCTTGGAGGAGTCCTCCACTTCTGACAGGCCAAACCCTCTTACAGGCACCCATCACAGACTCTGTCACTGTTGTACCAAAAATTCTCTTCCCTGCTCGACTGTAACTCCATGAGGCCAGTGCTATCTATGCCCCTTTCTATGCCCAGAGCCTGGCACTGGGCATGGTGGATGGCAGGCACTCGATAAATATTTGTGAAGTGAGTGAGACAAGAGTGAGCAATTGCATAGATGGTTGAGGAAATGAATGAGTGAATGAATGAAGGGCACAATGAATGAATGATGAGTAGGCATTTAGGTATCCCAGAGAGCAGGAAGTGGGTACATAAATGAATGAGTGGATCAATAAATGACTGAATAAGTAGATAAAGGAATGAAAATGTGAATCAGGCATGAGTCAGTGAAGGCACCACGACCAACAGAAACAGGGTCAGTACACAGAAGCCCTTGGTCCAGGCACTTCCCCAGTTGACCTTCAAGCTGTGGGTGGGCAAGATGATTGAAATATGACTGATTCATTCTCTGCTCTGACCTCAGTGATTCTGAAGTCTCTTAAAACCAAGTTATCCCATGGGATATCCCCAGGACTCCAGAAAGGTCCTCATTCATATGGACAAAGAACGGACATGTCAGAATCTGACCAGAGCCCTAGGGAGGTCATTCCCCTGCCTTAGTGTCAAGACCACCCTTGAACACTGAATGGTTTACGAGAGTCAACTTTCTTGAAAAATATCCTCTACTGTTAGCCAGTCCAAAGGCTCTCTTCCAAACGTGTGTATATATAAAAACAGAATGCATATATGTATATGCATACATGCAAATATATGTGCATATATAGATATTTGTAAATGTACATATAGTTCATCTGGGCCCTTCTGTTGCCGTCTTGTCATTCTCTTCGATCAAAGCGAGTCACAAAGTCTGAAGAGGGGCCAGGGTGGAATGGCAGATCCGGGACAATCTTTAGAATCTCTTTACTTTAAACATGGGGCCCCTGAGCCCAGAAGGCAGGAGTGGGGGGTATTTCCGGTCTGGTCAGCTGGCTTTCACCTGCCACTCAGCCCCCTGCACACCCAGCCCTTGAGACCAGGGTCCTCACGCATCTCAGGGGTGAGAGAGTGAAGTGTGCAGCACCTGAGTCCCAGAGCTGGTGAGGAGGGGGCCGTGAATGAAAGCCCACGCCTTTCCGGCTCCCCAATCCTGTGACACACACAGCGGAGACTCAGAAGGAAGAGAAGAGAAGGCGGCGGCCGTGGAGGGGGACAGAGCGCTGTGAAGGGTGAGCAGAAAGAACAGCAACACGCAGAAAGACAAAAAGACGAGCTGAGAGTCCGAGCTGGACCCTCAGACTCCGTGGTGTGTGTGTCTATCAGGAGATCAATTCTACAGATTTTAGGGGCCAAGGACACAGGCAGGCTCTGATGGGAGGAGGAACAGGACGCCACCTCTGAGCAACAGACAAAGGCTGTTCACCCCAAAAGGGGGAATAATAAACCTTGTCCACCCAGGAGGCCACGGCTGCCCCGTGCAGCAGACGTAGCTCAATCCCTCTCTCCCGGCGGCCGGCTCTGCTCTGCCCTCCTTCCCCTGCCACAGCGCCGGGTCTCGGGACCAGGCAGCGTATTGTGATGCATGAGCCCTAATTGGCATCCTTACAGAGCGCTGATCTCACCGGGCCCCCGCCTCCGCCTCCCCCTCCCGGGAGGAGCCGGGAGGTGGCAGCGGCCTCGGTGGCTGTCACAACTTTCTGGGAGCTTCTGAGAGGGGACAGAGGCCTCCCCAAGCTGCTCGGGGAGGGCCTGGAGGCAGTTCCGAGCGGCTCCAGAAAGTGGGCCCCAGCCCACCTCACCCCTGCCCTCCCTTAGGAGGCCTCTGGCCGGGGTCCCTCTCCTTGGTGAGGTGATGTCTCCCCAGGGAGGGCTCAGCCCAGGGAGTGGATGGAAGGAGAACAAGCAAGGAGTATCGGGTGGGGTGGGGGGAAGCTTTTCTACTCTCTGCTTCAGCATCTCCTTCAGAGACCCCCGGGGTGGGGGGCCTTTTACTCTCTCAACCCCCTCCAGCAGCCCACCACCCCCCACCCCAGCTGACCATGCTCATAAAACCACATGGGCATGGCAGTGAGAAAAGGGGGTACAGAGGCGGAGAAGGGGATTCCGGCTTCAACGTCAGACACACAGCTTTCCCTCTCTGCTTGGACCATGAGAAACCTCAGGGGGTGAAGGAAACGCTCCTGTCACCACTACCCCAGCCCCCCCACCCCCCACCACCTCTGGATCAGTCTGGTGGCTAGCAGAGAGCCAGGCATTCTGGCTGCTTTGCGTGTGTCTGTGACTTGCACATATACAACAGGTACAAAGCGGCCATGTGATGTATCTTGATGTGTCTGCCTACGTGTGTGTGAGCTGCATGCAGGTTTATGGGTGACGCATTTGGGTGGTGTCTGGCTGATGTGTCCGTGCTAGGCATGAGCTCACCACATGGTGGGCATGTTTGTGTCTGGTTGTTAAGTATGCGTGCTTGCTTGTTTGTGCATACGTGAATAAATGTGCTTGAGAGCATTGGTGGACGTAGACATGCAGGCGGTCTGGTTTCAATCAGGATTTTTTTTTTTTCCTTCCAGGGTTGCTCAATGCCAGGCATGAGTGTGACGAAGTATTCATGTGTGTGTCCTGACTGAGTCGGGGGCAGGGGCCCCATCACAGACAGAAGTGTCCAGAGCCAGGCACACCCCTCAGGAATGATGGGGAAAGCCTTGGCCTTGGGATGGAGCAGCCAATGCTACTGGCCATCACTGCACCTGCTGCCCTGACTTTCCAGAACTCCTACACCGGCAGACCTGCGAGATCCCCCGTCTGCCGCCCTTCTGCTTAAGGTCCTTTGGATCAGTGACTCCATTAGACCTTAAAGCACCTTGGGAATCAGCAGGGGGGGACCGTGCCCTTGGGTGTATTCTGAGCCGCCCAGCACTAATGTGGGAGGGCTGATCCCTCCTCTAAGTTCAGCTGAAGAGCCTCTGCACCAGGTCTGCGTTTCCATCTTTCAAAGGCAGTGGTCAGGCCCCTCCCGCCTCTGCTCCCCGCCGTGGGCCTCCCTTCTGGACACGAAACGATAACCGCGTCAGGGTGAGGAACGCATTGTGTGGCTGGGAGTGAGCGTCTGCAGAGATAACCCTCTGCTCCAGACACCCCTGGTGACTGTCCCATAAATCACACTGGCCACGAGAAAGGACATACAATTCCCTGGGCTTTTCATCATGGTCAATTAAGGAATCTGCCCAGGAGGTCAGTAGCGCTGCCCTCCACTGAGGTCAGACTCCGTGTGCCCAGCTCCCCAGGAAGCCGTGGACCTGTGATTAATGTATCTGTCCAGATGCCTGGTCTGGTCTCCACCAGGCCAACCCCTGGCATCAGACCCCAGGTTGTCTCCCTTTACTTGGCGAGCTAGCCTATGACCATGCAAAGAATATTCTGAAAAAGCTGTTTCTCCTTATTTCGGAGGCAACTGAAAAGCCATGGAAAGAACTCAGGCTTTGGAGGAGTGGTCTCAGGATTCGGGCATGTTCTATCATTGCTTTAAGTCTCAATTTCCTCATCTGTTCAAGGTTATCGAGAGGATAAGAGATCCCATCTCTAGAGAGCTGGGTGCAGCACTGACCCATGGCCAGGATTACGAATGATTAGCATCACACATATTTTAAGATTACCAACAAAGGCAGCCACGCTAGATCACTACAGCTTCCCTAAACTGGATGTGGATTTTCACACCTGCCTCCCTTTGCCATGTTGACTCCTTCTGTCTGGAATGTCACTTCTTGCCCAATGAGCTCCGGCGAATCCCTGTGTAAGCAGCCTTTCCTGTGTCCCTGCAGGCACCAGTCAACGTTTCTGTCCCCCAGGGGAATCCCACACACCCACCCAACATTGCTTTGCCGACATCCATGCCCTGAACTCTCTTCCGGGAAGGACAGGGTCTGGTCTCATTCCTCTTCATTTCCCCAGTGCCTCGTGCTGATAGAGGTGCCCATTACCCCAGCAGGACACAAGCCTCAAGTTCTGGGGAGGATGCACACCCCCACTCCCATGCATACCTCACCACCCACGCCCATCGTACCTATGGCATAGCCCTCAGGGCACTGCAGCTTGAGGTTGCTGTTGAGCTGGTCTGGGGCCGAGCACTCGCCTTGCATCTCCTGGCAGACATGGAAGGAGCCGCTCCAGGTGCCATCTTTCCGGCAGTGGATGACGTTGCTCCCGCGGCCCTGCACGCCACAGAGACACAGTCAGGACCGAGAGAGACCCCACCCTCTGCACAAGAAGCCTCCCAATGTTTCATCTCCGCAGCCCCCTGAAAGTGTTCCAAAACAAGCTCTTCACCATGGTGCAAACCCAATCAACCTCCAATAGAGTCACTGCAATGTCTCCATTTTACAGATGGGGACACTGAGGACTCAGTGGGGGGAAGAGACTTGCTCAAAGCATTTTGAAGAGTTTAACACCCAGGTTTCCTACATCTGAGTAGTCTTCTTTCAGAGAGTCCAATCAGAGGAGTTTGTTTGGCTTGTTTTTTGTAATTGAGAATATAGAAGATCAGGTGCACCCTATGTACAGTGAGTAAGCATGGGTCTTGGAGCCATTTGTCAGGAGGCACACACCACCAAGGCTCAGAGGGTAAAGGGTGCCTGCAATGCAGAAGATCCAGGTTTGATCCCTGCATTGGGAAGATCCCCTGGAGAAAGGAATGGTTACCCAATCCAGTGTTCTTGCCTGGAAAATCCCATGAACAGAAGAGCCTGGCAGGCTAGAGTTCATGGGGTCACAAAGAGCTGGACATGATTGAGCAACTATCACTTTTCATTTTCACCCCAGGCATGCTCCAAAGCTTGCTTCATCTTAATCGATGAGAAAAAAAATCCCAGGCCCCAGCCCCCTGAGCAGCTTTCTCTTCAAGGCCTCCCTTCCCCTCCCTCCTTTCTTCCTTCAACTCCATTCCATTCCAGCAATAATGGCACCGGGACAGTAGCATGAGGATGCTTTTACATGCTCCCTCCCTCCGAGTCTTTAAAACAGGCAATATCCCATCTCTCAATCTTCTGCAAAGCCATGGACAAACGAGCCACTTTCCACTAACATTCTAACAGAAGGTCCAGCTTTGCTGAAATTTCAGAACCATCCCCAAATCCAAAGACGATTCCTTAGCGTCCATTCTAGGCATAGCTCTGTTGGGTCCAGATGAGAAGTAAGCCAGTATTTGCCCCAGAGAGCTGGCAAGACAGCCGTGAGCTGTCACCCACATCAGCATGACCATGCCCAGTGACTATGCTGTATGCATATGGGGAGGGTAACGGGATGTGAGGGGCAAGCAGGGAAGGTTTCTGAGAGGAGGTGACAGATGGAAAAGTTTTCAAGGGTATGTACGTAAAATCAGGCAAAACAAAACATCTGTGGAAGCCAAAGGGCATGAGAAAGTTTGAGCAGCAGGGCATGGGGCAGGATGAGCTTGTCAGTCAGGTAGGGGCTTTAAACATCCACTTATGAAGTTTGGGCTCTACCTCCTGGAAAATGGAGAACCACAGGCATTAACAGTTTCTGCTCAGGGAGTCCACCTATCTGAGAACAGGCTGTATATTGTCCCCTTCTTTTAAGTTTATGATAAAGAAAAAAAAAAAAGAAACTCTACATGAGACCAGAGGAGCTGACCGTGCTCCACCAGCGAAAACATCTGTGGAATGACTCCTCTCAAGCCCTTCAGCTCCCATTCAGGCCTCCCGAGCCCTCTCAGCCTCAACTCTGCCCAGCTCTCCAGCTCCCTGCTCCCCACAGCACCACCGCCAACCCTGAGCGTCGTCCACTGCCTGCATTCTCAAATGCCCCACGTGAGGTTCTGCCTGGCCAGGCTTCTTCTGCACGTGTTCCACCTTCTGTCTGTTCTGTCCCCCCCGCCCCACCCTGCCCCCCTGTCCAAACACAGGCACGGAACTTTCTGGCAGAAGCATCCTGTCCTGATGCTACCCCCGTCCTGCACACTGCGCTCGCTGAAGGCCTCTGACACCCGCTGCCTCTTTATCATCTGTTCCCTCCTAAATGGTACCCTCTTGGGTCACCCCGGTACCCCCAGGGGCCTTCCACAGCACTTATCAGGTCCCAGCCACTTGGCCCATTCACACATCACTCAATAGGTATTTTTGTTCATTCAGGAATTGTTTAACAAAAGATGGAGTGAATAAGTACAGAGATGTGGGATGAATCTGTGTAAAAAATAAGAAGAGAAATGCATGGATGAGGAAATAAATGAGTAAATGAAGAAATGAGTGAATACACGAATAAATGAACAAGTGTATGCATGAGAAAACAAACTCTTGGAAAGGGCTGATGCAGGCTGAAGCTGCCCTGTCTGAGAAAACAGCTGTAAGGAGCTGGGATTTAGAGAGCAAGGGGCCCCTCTCTGGGCCTCACGTGGGCCAGCATGAGGAGGATCTGGTGGCGGTGAAAACCTCTGTGGCCACGGAGAAGGGTGGCCCATCCCGCGCCCACAGCTGTGGGGTGATGGCTGAGTCCACCCAGAGGTTCTGTGTGAGCACGGGGAAAGTTTAGGCAACTTCCTATGGCTTCAGAGAACCCTGAATCTCCCTCCCAGAGCCCCAGGCCCTGTGATTCTGCTGGGCCCTCGGGGGAGTAGGAAATTGACCCCAATTTCCTGGAGCCTTGGCCTATGGTGCACTTGGCCTCCAGGCCCCGAAGGGCTGCAGACCTCAGCGCTGCGTGGGCCAGAGCTGGCTGGGAGCTGGGTTTGCAACAGAGAATGTATTAGGACCGGCTGGAATCTGCGCAGGGAGTTTCATGCCGGGGAGGCGCCACTACAGAAGAGGGGAGCATAAAGGCGCTCTGGTCTTGCTGACTCTGGTCTCTCTCCCTCCTGCCCAGCTCATCTGGCGCTTTCTGCTGCTGACTGAAGCAGCGTCACAAAGGATAGACTTCTTCTGCTAAGATACCTTGCACTTTCAAACCAGGCTTGCTTGAGAGCCGGCAGCCAGGGCTTCTAGAGTGGGACCCAGGTGACACGTCCAGCCCCTTCTCTTGCTATGCACACTTCCTTCCTTCGCGTCTGTGGTCACCTGTCTCTCCCGCACACTTCTTTTGATTCCCACCACCACACCTGTGGCCCTGCTGGTGGCTTCTACATGGCAGACTTCCCGGAGCCACTCTGGATTTCATGTCCTCCTTTGGGAAAAGGTTTGGGTGCACTTAGGCCTGCCTATCACCTGGGTGCAGATGCTCGGAGCAGAGCCACGCTGTTGAGCCCAGTGTGACCACAGAAGGCCTGACATGGAGGATCCAATCTGGGAAGGCCGGAGGCCAGGGGACCCACTGGACCCACTGACACTGAGGATCCAATCCAGGAAGACCAGCGGCCAAGGGACCCACTGGATCCACTGACACGGGGGATCCAATCTGGGAAGACCGGAGGCCAGGGGACCCACTGGACCCACTGACAAGGAAGATCCAATCTGGGAAGACCGGAGGCCAGGGGACCCATGGTGCATCTCTGAATGCACAGTGCTGCATGCTAGGGTGAAGTTTAACACCAGAGGGCTGAGCATCTCTCAGCAAAGCATCTTGTCTCTCTGCGCCTGTGTCTCCATCTGCAAAACAGCATACTGTGTGGGGCTGCCCTGCTGGTTCCGTGGTAAAGACTCTGCCTGCCAATACAGGAGACACGGGTTTGAGCCCTGATCCAGGACGATCCCTCTTGCCATGGAGCAACCGAGCCCATGCACTGCAACTACGCAGCCTGTGCTCTGGAGTCCCTGGGCTGCCACTGCTGAAGCCCGTGTGCCCCAGAGTCCATGCTCTGCAACGAGAAGCCGCTGCAACGACAAAAGTCCAGCACAGCCCCAAATACATAAATACATAAAAATTTAAAAGAAGCATACTATGTTTTCTCAGCTCCTCTTTAACTACACGGGTCCACAAGAAGCCAAAAGCACATAATATGGTATCAGATATCTATTATGTGCCCAGTGTTTTATACACAGTTAAAAAAAGCTTTTAACAGTGCAGTTACTGCGGAAATCATGTCCTTTTTACAGATTTGAAAATTGAGGCTCAGCCAGGAAGTGAAAAGGTGAGTTTTTAAGTGATGCTGGTGTGCTGGTTAAGAGTCTGGACTTCAGTCAGACTTCCCAGGTTCCAGTTCCATCTCTGCAACCTTCCCACTGTGCAGACTCGGGGAAGCTCCTTAACTTCTCTCTGCTTTGGTCTCCTGTTAAATGAGCCTGGAATTCGCTGCCTGAGAAAGTCATCACGGGGATCAGTGAATTAGGCTATGTGAAGGCATTTATAGCTCAACACACAGATCAGGCTCTCTAAGGGTTAGCTGAGCTCTTAACCACTCTCTTGCACTGTCTCAAAGGGAGCTTAAGCATCAGCCCAAGCATCACCCGCATTTGAGAAATGGCAGCCGTCAGAATTGGGAGGCGGCAGGGCCGGAGCCAGGCTTTTCCCTGTAAGCCTCTGCACTTTGCTACAGCGCCGGGGCGCAGAGATGGAGAGGAGAGGCTGGGGGATGCGCGGACAGGGAGACCCGCGCTGCTCCTAGTTAGCAGAAATGGAAACTAACAAAACAATGGCAGAGAAATATGACAGCAACAGAGCAATTCAGCTCAGTCGTTTGGTCGTGTCCGACTCTTTGTGACCCGACAGACCGCAGCACGCCAGGCTTCCATGTCCTTCACCATCTCCCGGACTTTGCTCAGATTCATGTCCACTGAGTGGGTGATGCCATGCAACCATCAGGGCAGAACTACACAGTGAGCCACAAGACACAAAGGAGGCAGCCTGGCCTGATAAGAGAAATCTCAGTTCTGCCTGGACTTCCTCCTGGTTGTATAAGGTGGGCAAGACACCTTAAGTCACCGAAACACACCTTCCTCATCTGCAAAATGGGACAGTGATGCCAGACACCGTGGGGCTTAAATGTCTGTACAAAGCACTTAGCCCAGACTGGCATGGAGTACATGCTCAATAAATCGCAGCTGTTGTTTATTATCTGCCTCTGTGTCTAGTCAATGGCCTCACGTGCATTTTGCTTCCTCCCAGTTAGATACAGGGCTGACATGTAGCCACGCAGCTGCAGGAGTCAGGCTGGGCAGAAAATGTGGTTTGTGCAATGACCTGGCTAGGATATCTGACTCTGCTACTAACTTGCTGTGTGACCTGAGGTATGATGCTTCCCCTCTCTGGGCTTCAGTGGTCCCATCTATAAAACAAGCGGGTTGCAGTGGGAAAACCCTGAGGTCCAGCCCGCTTCTAATATCGTATGGGCTTGGGATGTCTCTGACTTCCTCTAGGAAACCTTGCATCCTTGGGCAAGCATGCGACGACCCTGAACCTAGAAGCTGCCCCTGCTTGGGAAGGCATTCTATGTGTGGGGGGTGTGCAGGGGTTGCACACTGCACAATTCCACAGGCCTGCCCTACTTTCACGGAGAAGGCAATGGCACCCCACTCCAGTACTCTTGCCTGGAAAATCCCACGGACGAAGGGAGCCTGGTGGGCTGCAGTCCATGGGGTCGCAAAGAGTCGGACACGAATGAGTGACTTCACTTTCACTGTTCACTTTCATGCACTGGAGAAGGAAATGGCAACCCACTCCAGTGTTCTTGCCTGGAGAATCCTAGGGATGGGGGAGCCTGGTGGGCTGCCATCTATGGGGTCCCACAGAGTCGGACACGACGGAAGTGACTTAGCAGCAGCAGCAGTCCTACTTTCATTGCCTCAGTTAATCCTCACAAATAAACTAAGAGGTAGCCAGAATTACTTCCCCTCCCCCATTTTAAGCCTGAGGAAACTGAAGCTTAAAGGGTTAAAAAACTTGCCCAAGCCCACCAGCTAGTAAGTGGTAAAGCCAAGATTCAAACTCAGAGTCTGGATCCAGCATCATAGTGGCTCCCTAGGAATGAATGAAGTTGAGGTTTGATTTGTTCATTTGCTTTTAGTAGCAGCGAGAAGGCGTATGCAAACCTCCCCTTCAACAGCCCCTGTCCTCCCTTGCCAGGATCTGGAGCTTGTTTGGAAAGCAAATAATTCCCGCTCCATATACACGCTGTTCAAGATACTCTGCACCGTACGTTTTGACTATGTTTACAGGCAGCGAGAGGGGATCTGAGGTGAATACTAGATTTGGCTCCCAGGCCCCTGGTCTGAGGGTAGAGGAAATTCATTTGCAGCACAAACTAGAAACGTCAATTGTATTAGGAGCCCATTTGGCACGCGCTCCCTCATTCCTTAGCCGGCAAGCAATACCCTGCTCCTCAGCGTCTGGCCTCCCCGCCAGTTGCCAAACAGGACCGCGTGAGTCGTCTGATAAATTTACATTTTCCTCTCCTTTAAATACAAACTGGCCATGAAAGGTACTTGGCAGGCCCCAGGCAGACTGGGTTTCAGTTTGATAACACGACCACAGCCAGAATAGTATTTGGCTCAGCCGTTTCGGTAACTGTTAGCAACAGTTTTATGTAAGGGAGCGAGAGGGAAGTTGATCGGCTGCGTGAGGCCGTGGTAATCTCTGGCCTTTGCTTGTTCCGGCCCCGGCTTCTGCCCCCCTGGCAGCTGAGGAAGGGGAAGGACCCGGGTACACAGACAGAAGCCCTGAGCCTGCCTCCCCGACAGGGACTGCCTCATGGACTCGCTCTGCGCACTGTCCACAGTCGGGGGACCTGGGTTCCGATTCGGATTCAGCTGTCACCAGCTGCGTCACCTTGGGTGGCTGAGTGCCTGTCTCAGCTGGAAAACGGGGAGACTGGCCTGGACGTCCGCGGAGGGTCTCAAGCCCCGTCACTTTCTGAGCACCTACTAGGTGCCTGGCACCGTCCCCAGTGCTGAAAACACAGGGAAGGCGAAAGCTGTGGTCAGGGATGGCAAAACCTAGTGAAAGTGAAGTCGCTCAGTCGTGTCCAACTCTTTGCAACCCCTTGGACTGTAGCCCACCAGGCTCCTCCGTCCATGGAATTTTCCAGGCAAAAGTTCTGGAGTGGATTGCCATTCCCTTCTCCAGGGGATCTGCCCAACCCAGTGATCGAACCCGGGTCTCCCGCATTGCAGGCAGACACTTTAGCATCTGATCCACCTGGGAAGCCCCCAAATCTAGTGGGGGAGTGTGAAGGGAAATCCAACGCAGCGTGGTCAGTGCCGTGACGCAGGGGCAGAGAGCCCACAGTGGGAGGGGCAGGAAGAGGTCAGGAAGAAGGGGTGCCTGGGCTGAATGAAGGACAGTAAGGCTGGAACAGGTGACAGGGCTTCTTTCACAGAGAACACCCAGACGAAGGGGGAGATCTGTCTTACTGTGATGGGGGAGATATGCTGAATGCACAGGTGAGATTCTTTCCAAGGGAGACGGGGTCGCTGGTTCACAAAGGACTTTGAGCAGGGGAACTGTCATGATCACAAGTGTGCTCTCAACAAGCCCCCCTGGCTGTGATGTGGACAGGATGCTGGAGAGGCAAGGAGAAGGCAGGGCCGGTCGGGAAGCTGCATGTGGGCCGGGAGAGTGATGCTGCTGGCCTGAGTTGGGTTGGCGGCCTTGGATAAGGACAGTTCAGGAGATCAGAATGGGCAGCGGTCAGTGGCTATCTGGAGGTGGGAATGTGGGTAAGAGGAGCTGAGGATGTTGCTCCAACGGCGTCTAGTATTTGGTAGATGTTTTCCCAGGGGTCGTGAACGGATGCGAGAGCTGGACCATAAAGGAAGCTGAGCACTGAAGAATTGATGCTTCTGAACTGTGGTGTTGGAGGAGACTCTTGACAGTCCCTTGGACTGCAAGGGGATCCAACCAGTCCATCCTAGAGGAGATCAGTCCTGGGTGTTCATTGGAAGGACGGATGCTGAAGCTGAAACTCCAATACTTTGGCCACCTGATGTGAAGAGCTGACTAATATGAAAATACTGTGATGCTGGGAAAGATTGAAGGCAGGAGGAGAAGGGGATGGCAGAGGATGAGATGTTTGAATGGCATCACTGACTCAATGGACATGGGTCTGGGTAAATTGCAGGAGTTGGTGATGGACAGGGAGGCCTGGCATGCTGTGGTTCATGGGGTCGCAAAGAGTTGGACACAACTGAGCGACTGAACTGTACTGAACTGAATACCCACTAAGGACTGACAAGAGGGAGGTCCTTGCGCTGGGGCCCAGTTGGCTGAACTCTGGCCTCACCTGAGTAAAGATCCTTGCCCACCCGTGAGTCGTGGGGCTTGAGGCGTCCACCCTAAATGGAGGGTTCTCTCAGGGCTGGAGCTCCTTGTGGACCTAAGTCTTCCTTGGAGCCAGCTGGTTCCTCATCCTCTTTCCCATTCTTGATTCCCTGCCTCTTAGTGGGTGGAGGTGGGTGGGTGTAAGGATTAAGGAAATGCCAGTCACAGAACTCCCTCAGCAGGGCTGGTGGGAGTGCTGAACTCTGCCTCAGGTACACGTGGATTGAGATAAAATCCAGTTCCTGCCATCTCCTTCCATCCTTCTTCAGTAGTCTCAAAGCTGTACATCTAGCGTAAATATGGCTCCCTTTCTCCAAATGCTTGAGGAGCCACTGATGTCTCCAGATAGTGGAAATCATGATTCTCAATATGTCAGAGCAATGTAAGTGGTGATGGTGGTAAAAAGTCAACAAAACAGCCTCGGTCACACCTTACCTTGGATCAAGTTCAGACATCAGGATTTCACTTATGATTTCTTTCATAAGATTCCTAATACTGAGAATTTTTTTCAAAGCTAAGAATCTCTGAGCCAGTAACATGCAGTGTGATGGGTAGGAGCACTAGGTTCAGAGAGATTACAAAGGATGATGCAGAGAACCCAGCTCCTAAACTTCTGCGTGGGTGATACTGCTATTAACTCTGGCATCCGCAGGGAGTTTCCTGGAGGATGTGGTTCTTAAATCCTGGCTGGTCTTTAGTAAACAGAGGGGAAAGGGATCCAAGTGTTGAATCCAAATTCAAGGGGCCTCACCTGGGTGGCATCGCTGTCTTCACACTTGATCCTGCATTCACTGTTGAACTGGAAGCCATTGGTGCACTGGTACAGCCCGTGGAATTTCGGTGGAGGAGGGTCACACGTCACAGGAACACAAGCTCCCTCCTGCCAGCTGCCATCCTGGGTACACTGGGTCTTGAAGGCCCGTCTTTCAGGAAGAGATGGAAAGCAGAGACATCTCAAGGACCAAACGGCTGCAGCCACACTCTACCAAGACACCCACAGTCTCTGGAGCCAGCTGGCCTCACATGTGCCTTTCTGACTCCCGAGTCCCTGCTCATCCTATTGGGTGATGGAGGGAGTGAGGAGGGGTTAAGGCGAAAGTTCACAGAACTCTTTCGTTGGGGCCGAGCAAGAGTTTCATGTGGAATGAAATAAAATCAAGCCCTGCTGGCCCATTTCCCCCCCACTTCCTTCCAGGGGCGCTGATGGGGGCTGACACAGGGATGGTATGGATACCCACCATCTGCTGTGTACCACGCACTTTGCGAGCACTTCACATACACATCCTCATTCATCCTTCGCCCCCATCTAATGCAGGCTGTTATCCTCCTCCCCATCGCATTGCTCAGCAACAGAGGCCCAGAGAAGAGAAGTCACCGACTTCAGGTCACACAGTCGGCAAGCAGCTGGTGACAATGTCCCCCCAGACTTCCAGGGAAGAGCACGGGGTGACGGTGGGCACAGAAGCGAGCACTTCCTTCTAACTAGACAGGCCTGGCGCCCCCTGTCCCCCCGCCAGCTCCAGCCGCCGGGAGCTTGCCTCTGCAGCCCCACTTACTTCTTTGACTTCCGGGGGGAGCCGGGCACGTGGTATCCAGGTCTGCACTTGTACTTGCAGAATGACCCCACCTTGTGCTTGCTCTCGCGGCACCGGGCCGTCTGGAGGTCCGCGTTGGGCACCGGGGGCGGAGCCAGGCACATGAGCTCGCACAGAGCCTCCGGGAAGGACCACAGCCCATCCTCCATGCAGGTCAGGAGGCTGTTGTTGCCTGCAGGACACAGGCAGGCAGTGTTAGTGGAGGCGGCAGGTGGGGAGGCTCTGCTAGGCCAGCTAATCCACGTGCTGCCTGGACTCAGGTCAACCTGAAGAACCAGAGACACTTCCACGTGCAATTCCAGCCCCTTCCACCTTCAACTGAGGAGTGTAGGGAGTAGAAAGAGTTGCCACAAAATAGAAAAAAAAAAAAATAGAAAAAAAAAAAGAAAAAAGAAAAGGGAGAGACAACTTGGGGACTGACATACCCCATGTCAACAGTGAATCCAATTCAAGGCTCCTGACTTCTGATTCTGAAACCTCTTATATTGCACAGACAAGGGAACTGCATGATCCTTGTCAACTACAAATGGACACTTGCCACAAGTATTTGCCAGCGACTGAACGACAACAAGAAGGGCATTTGCCACCTGCCTGTGCAGAGATTGAACCCCATGCTGTTGCAGCTGCCGACCTGACCTTCAACACCCCCTGAGGGGAACTCAGGGAGGGGGGCGAGGCACTCTGTGCTCCAAGGAAACTGGTGGAACAAGTCTTTAGATAGTTAAGATATTTTCAGGAACTGATTTCATGATCCCAATCCTTGGATCTCTTCCTATCTAGGAAATCACTAAATCCCTTCATGATGACATCAGCTCCTCGTGACTAACAGAAAATCTTTTATAAAGTAAGAACTTGATTACATTGAACTCTCCCTTCACCAAAATCTTATATATGAACCTTCCCCCACTGCCTCTTCGGAGCGGTCCCTCAGAGCTGTCTGAAGTCCTGCCTCCCGGACTGCCATCCTCATTTTGCTGCAAAGAAAACTTAACTGGCAACTCTCACTTTGCGCATCTTTTTAGTCCACACTTCCCTCCATCCTCCCTGCTTTGCATCTGAGCCCAGAGATGAAGGCACTTGCTTTCCAGTAATTGGCAGAGTAAGCTTCCCCGGTAGCTCAGCTGGTAAAGAATCCGCTTGCAATGCAGGAGACGCTGGTGTGATTCCTGGATCAGGAAGTTCCCCTGGAGAAGGGGTAGGCTGCTCACTCCAGTATTCTTGGGCTCCACTGGTGGCTCAGACAGGAAAGAAAATACCTGCCATGCGGGAGACCTGGGTTCAACCCCTGGGTTGGGAAGATCCCCTGGAGGAAGGCATGGCAGCAGCTCTGAAAGGATCACAGGAGTTGCATGAGAACCTCCATTCATTCGGGGCTTCCCAGGTGGTGCTAGTGGTAAAGAACCCACCTGCCAATGCAGGAGATGTAAGAGATGTGGGTTCGATCCCTGGGTTGGGAAGATGTCCTGGAGGAGAGCATGGCAACTCACCCCAGTATTCTTGCCTAGAGAATCACCATGGACAGAGGAGCCTGGTGGGCTACAATCCATGGGGTAGTAAAGAGTTGGACACGACTGAAGTGACTTAGCACACACACATACACACACACACACACACTTCATTCAACAAGCATCTCTTTAGTGCTTACTCTGTGCCAGCTACTCTTGTCTATGTGGAGACAAGGCAAAACAAACCAAACCCCAAACCCTGCCCTCTTGGAGCTTATATTCTAGTGGGATACCGATAAGAAATTATCTTTTTTAAAAAGCAAACTGTTTGGTGTGTAGAAGGCGGAAAGAACTACGGAGAGAAATATAACAGGAAAAAAAGATGAGAGCGTGTGTAGGCGCCTCTGCGGCTTCGTTCCCTGCTCACTGTGCTCTTCCTCCTCCCGTATCTGTGTGAGTAACCTGGGGAGCCCAAGGCAACTCAGGGTCTGTAAGCCACACAGAGGACTCCACGTGATAACCTGTGACACTGCTCCCTACAGTCATTTCTACATCAAGTAAAAAGAATAAAGGGTGTGGAAGAGTGGCTCATTTGGTTTCTATAGAAGCAAAGATGGCTCCAGCACACCAGAGATTGTAAATTGCATTATTATTATTATTTTTTGCATGGTCTTGTGATGAAGGCAGTGCTGGAGTGCCTGGGTTCAGCAAGAGCTTAGCGGAGACTGGGAGCCACAAAAGATAAAGGGAGCCCTACCCTCTCTAAATATCCCAGGAAGGATAAAATGCCTCTGGAAAAAGGGTCAAGATGCTTTACAAGTATACCCTATCAGCTAGGTAAACCCTAGACTGTGAAGTGGACGTTGTGGTTCTCTGGTGGTGAGCTAACAGAAAAATCGCAAAAGGTTAATCAAGAGAGAAAAGGCAGAGTGGAAATGTACATTCTTTGAGAGGGTAAATAGGAGTCAGTGAGCACTGCAGTCAGAAGAACAATGTTAACACCAGAGCTGGTGATTCAGGACCATGGACATGCCCCACACCATGGCAGACACGTAAGTGTGCAGAATCAGCATTTCCTGGCCCCAGCTGAGGCCCCCACCCTGCAGCCTCCATGGGGCTCTGAAGAAAGCAGGGTAGGATGCAGCTGTCCATGCCCTTCCCACGTGCCCTTGGCCCTGACCTTCATATGCTGAAGGACGCCTACTGCACCCACAGCTGTTTGCTGCTGGAGGTCTTTCGCTCAGGGGTGTTTGGGCTGCATGCGGGGCAGGCTCACAGTGCTGAGGTGTCAACGCTCATAGAAGTAGCGCCCAAACCAGTGAAGGGGCTGGTGCATTAACACAATTGCCCGAGTTACGGGAACTCAGAGGAATAATCCTGCCCTGTCTCCCAGGCTTCCCCAGAGGGACTGAGCCCGGCTGTCCACAGGGGGTGGCTTTGGAGGAGCCCTGATGCTTCTATCATTTCCATGTCTTCCTCTCACTATGTTTCTTGGGGGAACATGACTCTGGACAAGAGGTGAGGGCGTTTCTGAGCCTGGAGTCCCTGGCTGAGGGTAAGAATGCTGAGGGCAGAGACTAGGTTTCAGAGAGCGATGTCACACTGTACTTTTGTCTGTTCAACTTTCAAAGTCAAGGAAACAAATCTTGCTCAGACTGTCTACAAATGTGGCTAAGGAAATTTCAATCTCCAGTGAGTATTAAAATGATTACAAATGTACTATCAAAAAAAATAAATCTACTTTTATTATTTTGCTGTAAAGAGTACCCAGAAGATCATGTTCCTTGAGAATACCTTAGACTGAAACTAACCTTGGTTAGAATGGGAGGAGGGAAATGCCAGGAGATCTAGGTCTGTTTATTTTTAATGCCTTGTTGATTGTGCTGGCATCGCCCACATCCTAAGGGCTGGGACTGCACCTTGTTCATTCTTTTATTCCCAGAACCCACCCCAGTGCCAAGCATACATGCATGCATGCTAAGTTGCTTCAGTTGTGTCCAACTCTGTGTGACCCCATGGACAGCAGCCCACCAGGCTCCTCTGTTCACGGGATTCTCTAGGCAAGAACACTAGAGTGGGTTGCCATTTCCTTCTCCAGCCAAGCATCCAGGAAGCCCTAAGTGTCCACTTGTTGAATACATACTGCTATTGTTTAGCCACTCAGTGGTATCCGACTCTGTGACCCCACGGTCTATAGCCCCACAGGCTCCTCTGTCCATGGGGATTTCTAGGTGAGAATACTGGAGCAGGTTGCCATTTCCTTCTCCATGGGATCTTCCCAACCCAGGGACTGAACCCACATCTCCTTCAAGTCTCCTGCATTGCAGGCAGATTCTTTAGCAGATTCTTGAGCTACCGGGGAAGCCTGGAGTATTATGAATTTACTGTGACCTTGAACAAGTCACCTGACTTCTCTGGCCCTAGGCCAAAGCCATCTTTAAGTTCTTGTCCAGTTCTAATACTTCAGGATGTGGAAGGGCATTGGCCACTGAATTAAGAAAGCAAAAACAGAGTTAGCTGGACTGGGGTAAGGACAAATCACATTTGTAGGGTCCATGAGGTAGGCATAGGCATAGGAAGAATGACTGGCCCCATCTCCTTGATCCTCCTAGTGACCCAATTTGTCCTTAAGCTCATTTTGCAGGTGGGAACACTGAGTCCCGGAGTGGAAAAGTGAGCTTCTCCAACTATAGCTGGCCTTCACTCCAGGTGTGTCTGACTCCTGAGTGCTCCCTTGACCACACTACAGAGCTTTCACCCAAGTGTATGGCCATAGAGGAACTGCCGTCTAGAGAAAAACCTCATGGAACCAGAAACACGAATGTGTGGAGTATCTCAAAAACAAAACTAGTCATATATTTCACCATCCCTCCTGTTCCCACTGTCCAGAATGGTGTCTCTCACTTCCAAATGTCTGCACTGAAACGCTCTACATGTTAGACACAAAGGAGAAGAAGAATGTGCTAAGATGCAGTCACAGTCAGGGATAACGAATGGGTACTGTCCTAAGAGAGGAAAGAGCCTGGGATGTTGGACACCTGCCATAACAGAGGGGCTGGGAGTGTGCAAGTCAGATGATTTCACAAGACTGCTGGGAATGGAATGCCTGGCAAGAGGGCACCTCTTCTAGGGTAGGGACCCCTGGGTCACTTTCTGGCCCCAGTGCTCATGGTAATGCATACATGACCTTTCATGAATGTCTTCCTCTCTTGGACCTCAGTTTCTGCATGGCAAAATGAACTGATGACTTCTGGCTTCTCCCAGCTCTGGCTGGAGAAGCTCCAATACTTTGGCCACTTGATGCAAAGAGCAGACTCATCGGAAAAGACCCTGATGCTGGGAAAGATTGAGGGCAGGAGGAGGAAGGGGTGACAGAGGATGAGATGGTTGGATGGTATTACCGACTCAATGGACATGAGTTTGAGCAAAGTCCAGGATACAGTAAAGGACAGGGAAGCCTGGTGTGCTGCAATTCATGGGGACACAAAGAGTCAGACATGACTTAGTGACTGAACGGCAACAACTAGGTTGAGAGGCATGGTTCAGAAAAGGTCAAAGGAATTCTGGAGCAGCAGCTAAGAACCCTGAGGTGAGAATACGCTTGACTTTTGAAACCTGAGCACTGTTCAGAGTGAAGTGAAGATGGAGGTGGGGGATGAGGGAGACAGAAGAATTATCTAAGAGAGAAAAGAAATCTGTTGCTTCCTCTTATCACTGCTCACCTCTAAAGACGGTGTCATGAGCAGCTGTGTGATCTTGAATAAGTTTTCTTTTCCACGGTGCTCGTCTGTCCCCAAGAAGGATTGGGTAGTGGTTTACCATTAACCACTATTGGATAGGAAATGGCAACCCACTCCAGTATTCTTGCCTGGAGAATTCCACGGACTGCGTAGTCCGTGGGGTCACAAAGAGCCAGATACAACTGAGCAACTAACACTTACCATTAACACCCAGTGGTGGCTGGGACCCAGGGACATTCTAGACCCTGCTACCTCCAAAGCACTAGGGTGATAAGAGGAGAGTAGCCTTCTCTTAGCAGTGATATGAGATGTCCTCTTTGGTGGAGACCCTGTTTTTGTGGGAAAGATGCCTTGATAAGACCCTTAGGATAAAGTTGAATCCTCCAGGTCTCTGGCTATCTGCTTCTGAGAGGGATGGAAGGGTCTCTGCCTGAGAGAGGAGAGAAGATGTGAAATTCCTAGAGGGAGAAAGATCAGGACAGGACTCTGAGGGAGAGGGCAAGGGGCAAGGAAGAGAGTGGGAGGCTGGCAGGAAGGTTAACTGCTGGACACTGAAGGACATGGCCATTCTGCTCATCAGTACAGTAGAGTCTAAGAAACCAGAAAATGCTCCATGGTACTGAGTGTCTTCTGGAAACCAGTGAATAAGCTGAGTTTAAATCTTGGGCCTTAGATAGAAGTAGACAGTGGACCTTTTAGAAAGACTATTTTTTTTTTTTTTTGGCTGAGCTGCATGGCATGTGGAATCTAAGTTCCCTGACTAGGGACCAAATCCACACCCCTGCAGTGGAAGCATGGAGTCTAAGCCACTGGATCACCAGGGAAGTCCCTGGAAAGATCTTTGTGGGATGAGAGCATGCTTGCTTTATAAGCCCCGCTCCAGAATCAACATCCAGTGTACCTCACATGGTTGAGTTGAAGCTGACAAGGTCATGGATGCAATGATGCATTTTTAGCCATTGAGTTAAACATTTATGATTCTGAGACTAAGGTTCTTTCTTTTAAATTTGAGAGAACTTTTTTCCTCGTGCATGTGTGTAGGTGCAGTGGGTGCTGTTAGTGCTCGTGTGATTAAGGGCCCTGGCAGGAATGACTCCAGAGCTATGGATTTGCAGGGTATTTGTGGACATCTTGATGAGGGCTCAGAACTTAAGGGAAGGTCAGGATATTCGAGAAAAGTTCACCTAGATTCTAAGGGACTGGTGTGTTTGTGGTGCTATTAATATCTGCATTACACTGGCCTTGGGGCCACACTCAGCGCTTCTCCTGGGTGGGCTTCTGGTCCAAGCACATTAACCTCTAGGTCCTGAGTGGAATGTGGAGGATGGAGCAAGTCTCCACAGGTCCCAGGACTAAGGCCTCCATGGGATAAAGAGGTCAGGGGTCAAGAGGGCAGCCACTGCCTAATTCTCACAAGAGTGCCTCTTGGGGATGAGTATTTACTAAGTACTTACTCTGGTTCTGGCAATTTTATTCATACCACCACTTTTAATCCTCACCATAACCCTTCAATGTGGATGCTCTTACACCCATTTTATGGATGAGAGTACTGAGGCTCAAGGATGTGAAATTGCTCTTTTAGGATCTACTAACATCTCCCAATGTGAAATTCATCTCCTAAGATCAGGCAGCTGGGGCAGAACAAAGAGTTCAGTCCCTCTCTGTCTGATGAAAGATGAAAGCTCACACTCCTTTTGCTTAAATCTTGCTGTGGGGAAGGAAAAGCAAAGAGCATAAAGGGACGCAGACAAGAAATGGGGGGAAATTTCATTTTGATCACCCCTAGTGGTTCAGTTAAGAATCTGCCTGCAGTGCAAGAGACCTGGGTTTGATTCCTGGGTTGGGAAGATTCCCTGAAGAAGGGAACGGCAACTCATTCCAGTATTCTTGCCTGGAAAATTTCATGGACAGAGGAGCCTGGTGGGCTATAGTCCGTGGGCTCCTGGTGGCTATAGTCCACAAAGAGTTGGACACGACTGAGGGACTTTCACTTTGGGCTTCCCTGCTGGCCAAGATGGTAAAGAACCTGCTTGCCAATGCAGAAAACATTAGAAATGCAGGTTCAATCCCTGGGTTGGGAAGATCCCCTGGAGAAGGGAATGGCTATCCACTCCAGTATTCCTGTCTGGAGAATTCCTTGGACAGAGAGCCTGGCAGGCTATAGTCCATGGAGTCACAAAGAGTCGGACATGACTGAGTGACTAACGCTTTCACTTTATCTTTTGGCTTAAGAAGCAAAGAATTATTAACAAGCTCAAGAGAGAGGACCAGGACCTCTGCCCAGCCTTTGCCGCCAGCAGACCCAAGCCAAAGCATTGGACCTGGAATCTGAGCATCTGATGATGCCGAGAACCAAGGGCATGGTGCGTCAGTGGGTCCTGCCCTGTATCCTCAAGGGACGATGAAAGTGGGGATCAACACCATCAAAATGACAGTCCTTCTAGGGTCACATCTCCACAGTGAGGTCATCCCTCCACCACAGTAAGCAGGGAAGCAATGACAGAGAATCACTTTGATTAAGGATTATTATTGCAGCCCTCATTGTGGCTAATAATGCTGATTTATACATCTCCCTGATTTATACACCTGACTTAGAGGGGAAGTGTGATGTCCTAGTCTGGAGTTATTAATAAGCCCTATGTCTGAGCAGATGGGGCCAGGGACAGGCTCAGATAAGGTGGAGGCTTTGCAATTTTCACTGGTCTCTTCGTCTCTCTCAGATCTCAATCTCTAGGGCAGCTCAAATAAAATGTCTATAACTTTTACACTCAAATCTTCTTGGCTAAAAATATGAGGGGACTTTGGTTACTTGATGCAAAGAGCCAACTCATTGGAAAAGACATTGATGCTGGGAAAGATTGAGGGCAAGAGAAGAAGAGGGAGACAGGATGAGATGGTTGGATAGTATCACCAACTCAATGGATGTGAGTCTGAGCAAACTCCAGGAGATGGTGAAGGACAGGGAAGACTGGTGTGTTGCAGTTCATGGGGTTGCAAAGAGTCAGGCATGACCGAGCAACTGAACAATAGGAAAGGATGTATCCCAGAAGTGTTTTCTGCTTCTCTTTGGGGGCAGTTTAGTGAGATAGCTGGGTCCTTCATTCATTTCTTAAAAGAAACATTTCCTGTGGTTTTACTTTCATCAACTCATTCAGTTGCCCAGTCTATACACTTTATTGAGTCTTACTATGTGTAGTAATCCTTTGGAGTTCTACAGCTTCTTGAAAACTTGGAGACACTATCAACCCTCTACAATCATCCAAATGCCTGGAAACTCATGAATTTGTATATGACATCTAAGTGAAAGTGAAGTTGCTCACTCATGTGCGACTCTTTGTGACCCCATGAACTGTAGCCTACCAGGCTCCTCCATCCATGGGATTTTCCAGGCAAGAATACTGGAGTGGGTTGCCATTTCCTTCTCCAATATGACATCTAAGTTGAAGGGAATTTACAGACCTCCCTCTAAACCCCCACACAACACACAGAAGTCCGCTCATTCCCATGATGGATCCCAAGGTAGGACCCATGCTTAGTGAGTTATCATTTTGGTTATCTGATGAAGGGACAATGTTTCCTCTGATAAGCCAAACAAAGGAAAGTCCTGCTACCTACGAAAACTGGGTATAATGCCCAAACCTAACACTCAACCAGAAGCCAAGAGAATTATTCTGATGTTGCTGCTAACTTGCTCTGTGATTCTGTGCAAGTTCCCTCCTTCCTATCACTGCACCTCAGTTTCATCATCCGTCCAGTAATCAGTTACCCTTGCCTAGTTCAAAGAGCCCTTGGAGAGACTAGGTAGCCCAGGCCAGCCTCTCACTCATTTCCAACATGGGTCCTCTTCTCCCGTTTGCCAGACTATGTCTTCTCACCTGAATATCCCAGCACCTAGCCCAAGAGATGCCCATTAGCTTTTCCCTCCTAGAGTGACTCCCCTTGGAGCTAGCCCTTCCTAAAGGGCAGCAGTGGGCTTTGGAGGAAGACAGACCTGGGCCCCGTGGTGGAGCCCTCCAGTAATAGCATGGCCTTGGACAAGTTCTTTCAACTCTGAACCTTGAGTTTCACCTCCGTGAAAATTAAAATAATAATAATACTCTCCTCTTAGACTTACTGGACCCTCACCCCACCCAATGAACTAGTCACATCAGTTCCAGATGCTATTTTCTTAGAATCTTCTCTTTCCTTCCACTTTCCCTCCCTTCCTGCTTTTCTCTTTCCTCTTTTGCCAGATCTTAGAGACACCATCAGAGACGGCAGTGGCACCCCACTCCAGCACTCTTGCCTGGAAAATCCCATGGACGGAGGAGCCTCGTGGGCTGCAGTCCATGGGGTCGCAAAGAGCTGGACACGACTGAGCGACTTCACGTTCACTTTTCACTTTCACGCACTGGAGAAGGAAATGGCAACCCACTCCAGTGTTCTTGCCTGGACAGCCCCAGGGCCAGGGGAGCCTGGTGGGCTGCTGTCTATGGGGTCGCACAGAGTCGGACACGCCTGAAGCGACTTAGCAGCAGCAGCAGCAGCAGAGACACCATGCTTGTCCACACTCAACTCTCTCCCCAGCTGCACAACAATGCAGTCTGCATAGAACAGGTGGCAGGGACCAGAAGCAGAGACGACACCCTGTCGGTGTGGAGTCCCCGCGAGTCTCGTACCTTTCAGCTGCGCCGGGTGGCGGCATTGGAAGGAGCACTTGCTGCCGAAGGTGGTGCCCTCGAGGCAGGAGAACGAGGCAGCGTGGACGTGGTGCTGGTCCGGGACGCCGCAGTCCACCGGCTCGCACGCCACCTGCTTGCTCCACTTGCCCTCTGTACAGGTCACCGTGACGCTGGGTCCTGTCTGGAAGACGGAGGCGGGCACCGTGAGATGCGGCGGGCGGAAACCCAACCCCTGGGGAAAACCCTTCTCCCCTGGGCTATGGCACCCGCAGATCCATGCTCCACATTTAGCTCCCTTTCCGGGATCCCAGCAACTGTTTGAAGGAGGTACTTCAGTTCCCACTTTACAGCTGCTGAAACTGAGGCTCAGAGACATTAAGTGACTAGCTCCAAGTTTCATAGCTGGACAAAGGCTAAGTGGGAATTGAGCGCAAAGACACTGCTCTGCATGGCTGTCTGGAGAGTCTCCCAGATAGTTATTTCCATTGTATTGCTGCGAATCTTAAGGCTCAGACTTCCCAGGGCCAGAGGACTGCTTTTCATGAAATAGCCTCTGAAACACAGCACAAGAGTGGGATGCTAGATTTTAACCTTTGGATCTTTCCCTGGCCCTGGGGGAGCGGGGGAGATTGTGCTTGGCACAGAGTGGGCATCACCCTGGGGGGATGGGAGAACGGGATTTGGTTCTGAGTGCTGTGAGACCGTGGGCAAGTCCCTTTCCTCACTGGCATCAAAGTCAAGCATTGCTCTAAGAGCCACTCCCTGCTCCAACACATGATGCTTCAATAGCTGGGAGAGGTGGACGTGAAGAAGGAAGGAGGCTAGGCAAATGAAAGGGTCGACAGGGATTCAACACACATTAGAAGACAGCACGGCTGGAGGTAGAAGGACAAGCCCAGGCTGCAGGGACAAGGCAGGGTTGGTCCACAGCAGCCCAGCCCGGGGGGCCTCCATTCAAGGAAGAAGCCGCCACATCCCAGGCGATCAGGGATGCCAAATGTTGAGATGGGATTTCAAAAGCATGGGATACTGTTCCCCTCTTCAGCACCCATCAAAGGAATGAAAGGTCCCTCACTGCCAAAGCCAGCTTAATTGTTTTCACAGGAGTTCAGACCTGCTGTGTCTGACACACGGAAGCAGGTGTCTAAGCAACTGGGCCCCAGGGCGCCTCAGTGGGACTCTTTGCAAGCCCAGAAGCTCTGTGCAAACAGGCATTCCCAGCAACAAAGAATGTGCCCATGCATCCAGAGCATGAAGGGGGAGTTTGCTGGTGGGGTCCCACAAGAGGCTGCACATGGAATCCCCAAATCTCAGGGCTTAATTCCCTGCTCCTCCTCACACCCAACTGAGACCCCACAGGCACGCTGGCTGAAAGCACCATTACACCACATCTAAGTCAACCTGAGGCCACTATCCTTATGTAGGACTCAGCCCTCTTCCCAAGGCCGCCCCACCATGGCTGGACTCCAAGCCACACCCATGTGAGCCACTGGAAGGACCTTCATCACCCACGATCTGACCATGTCACTTCCTTCAACAGCTCCCTGCTGCCCTGAAGAGGACCCTCCCACTCCCTGACCAAGCTAACAGGGCCTTACATTAGCACACCTTGCTTGCCCCTCCAGCCTCACTGCCTGGGTAAGATCAGAAAAACAAACGTCTGTCTGCGGTACCCTCCTTCTCACCAGCGGGCATCCACAGATTCCAGTCCACGCCCAGAGCCTGCCTCCCTCCCTCGCTGGAATGCGCGACCCTCTGCCTATGTCTCCAGTTCTCGGTTTTCATATCACCTCTTCCAGGGAGCTTTCCTTGACTGCCTCTGTGCTTCCACAACACCCCGCACTTCCCTTCACAATGTTTATCACACGGTACGGCCATGACTCACTCATCGTCTGCTCCCGGTCACTAGTCACCGAGCTCCTTAAAAGGAGGAAGTAGGTTCATCTTGGTGACTTTTTTCTCTAGCACCTAGTATAGCATACCTGGTGACTCAGACAGTAAAGAATCTGCCTGCAGTGCGGGAGACCTGGGTCCGATCCCTGGGTTGGGAAGATCCCCTGGAGGAGGGCATGGCAACCCACTCCAGTATTCTTGCCTGGAGAATCGCCATGGACAGAGGAGCCAGGCGGGCTACAGTCCATGGGGTCGAGAGAGTTGGACACGACTGAGCGACTTAGACACACACAGTACATCTGGTTCCAAGGGCACAGATGTTTGAATGAATGAATGAGCATCACACTGACAGGGGGCTCACCTCTTCTGAAACCAGCCCACTCAACTGTAGCAGGGCTCTGACTGTGAGGGCTTCAGTCCAAAAGTCATGCTCAGCCCATGGTTTTCCAGATTTTCAACCTACACTGGCAATGCTGGTACCTGTGATGTGAAACACTACTCTGCACGGGAACCATGGTCTCAGAAATCCCAGATTGAGGCAGTCTTTTATTCAACCCACACCTCTTTATTGGGCATCCACTATGTCGCAGCAGTGCTTCAAATGCTGAGGATTCAGCAGGGAACAGGTTCAACACCCGCTCAGCCTTTCGTGGGCTGGAGAGGGACTCTGCGCCCGGCACCCACACACACCTGGCTTTTGATCAGCTCGTCGTCCCGCTGAATCTGGAGCACGTAGCCGGTCCGACAGCGCACAGTGCACTGGGCGCCGTGGTAGCCGTCGCCGCCGGAGCAGTTGAGCCAAGCGTTCTCCACAGCCAGCTTTGGGCAGTCCGCGGCCTCACATGCGAAGTGCACACAGCTGAGGAGAAAGGGAACAAGAGGGTGAGAGGTGCTTTCTTGCAGGACCGATGCACTCCAGCAGGAAGACAAAGGCTGATGGGTTCTCGCTCTAAATTTCAGGAGGCTGACACAGGAGACACGCGGAGTGGACAAGACTCCGGAGGCGCAGCGGCCAAAGTTTATCACGAAGAGCACAGTTTATGGAAACAGACAACCCGGGGCTCAAATCCCACATCTTAAAAGCCTTACAAATTATGAATCTGCAAATGCTGTAGAACCTTAGTTTTTCCATCTGCAAAATGGGAATTATTATGATTACAGCAAAAGCATTCATTGAGTCTCTTATCCACCAGGCACTGAGCTGAATGAAAGCCTTTTCATATGCTGTAACAGCACTCACTTCCGGGGGTCATTGTGAGAATTAAATCAGATAGTTGAGAAAAGCATGGAGTGGAATTCCTATATAAGGGCACGAAGGTATGGATAAATCTATGCTGTATTACCTAGAGGCTGTCTAACTTTGGGCAAGGTCCATCACCTCTCTGAGTTTCAGCATACTCTCAGATTCGGCTAACCCATAGCTCCATGAGATTCAACTGAGGTCCTGAAGGTGGAAGTCTTTTATAAACTGTACAGTGACTTCAGAATGGTTGATAAAGTGGTGCAGAGATCACGCCATGCATCTTCCTGTAGTTGCCGCCTTCCTGCCAACTGGAATTTACTTGTTCCAGTCTGAGTGCCATGAAAGGGTCTACAGAAAGCTTTCTCCTGTCCCCAGGTAAGCTTCCCTGCAGCACTGGGCCCTCCCTTCTCTCACACCCTGACCTCTTTCTTCATGGGCTGAAAGCAGGGGTCTGGGGTGCCTACCGTGTGCCGGGATGCGTGCTAACCCTTCAGGAAACGGAAACAACATAAGACCCCCACGCTTAGATGATCTTTCCCCTCATGTTACCGTCACGCAGACGCTTAGTAACATTAGCGACTATTTACCGATTGCTTACATACATGAGCTCACCCATCCTCACGGCGACCCTATGAGCTAAGCGTTACTCATTTTACTGTTGGAAAGTCGGGGAGCTGCGAGATCGAGTTACTTGTTTAAGTTCCCATCCAGATGTGTGACTCCAAAGTCCTCATTATTAACCTCATGCCACACCTGGACTAGAACTTCCCTGAGGGTAGAGATAGTGCCCGTTTCATTTCGGTGTACTTCGCACTGCCAATGAAAATGCCTCGGGTGAAATAGATGTTTCCTAACTAGCAAGGAACAAATGGTGGCAGTGTCTTGCAAGAACTCTTAAGCGCTCTGCAAACATCGGGATATTGAATTTGAAGGATTCTAGGAGGCAGTTCTCTTGAATGTTGCCCCTCTGGCCCTGTCTACCCCAACTCCTGGCGTACGATATACACAGATAGCTGGGGTTGCCTTTCAGAGCCTTAAAGTGTTTGTTTTCCTGTTTCTATCCAGCACACGCGGAGCAGTGTGGGGGTCAAGCCAACTTAAGAAGAAGTTCTCCACTTTTTGCTTGGTGCTGGTTTCAGGATAAAACCCCACACTGAGGGTTTTATAGGAACAGGCTTACTCACCCCCACTCTGTATCTCCTGCTGAAAAGTATGGTGAGAATTAGAGTGGGGTAACAGTGGGGGAGGTGAGGATCAAACATCTCCAGCACTTAGCACAAACAAACTCAACTTTTTAAAGTACTGGGACAAGGCAAGTGTTCAGTTCTGGTCTCACACCCACTCTGATGTGCGCTTTGTAGCTTCCACACACCCACCTCCCCTTCACAGATGCAGGATGAGCTGGGATGAAGCGACACTCGCTGAGACTTTCTGATGCCTTGCCCTTTTTTCTGCTCTGACAGCCTCTGCCCTGTGCTACCCGAAAGACTGTAGCTTTGGAGTCAACACGAGTCTCTGACACCAAACAATGCATCTGTTCACGTTGTGCAAGCGCTGGGGAAAGAGCCACATGGTTCCAATTTAAATAGATTTTAAGTCTGTAAGCCACCAGCCTCCAAGTGGGTCTTCTGACCTTGGCCTTGCAGTTTGACCATTCTCGCTCTGCACACCCAGGAGGCCCCCGGTCTCCCATCTGATGATGGACCGGGGGGAGCCTCTGGGGACCCTTTTTGAAAGACAAGGGCTCTGGGCTTCTCTGGGCTGTGTGACCATTAAGGTTTAAAAAAAAAGGGGCTCTCCCTCTTGTGCACATTAAGGTTGTTCTTCATAGGAAAAGGAGAAACTAAACAACTTGATTTCCTCGAGCGGAAAGGACCGATGGCTTAGCAGGTGGGCAGCTCTGGGCTCCGGCCCAGGCTCAGTTTCTCGGCTGTTTGATCTGGAAAGTCCCGTAGCGACCTGAGCCTCAGTTTCCTCCTCTGCTCAGTGGAGGCCACAAGACGATCCCTCTCTCAAGACTATTAAACAAGGCGACGGGTCAGCCACTGACTCATCTGTTCAACACACTTGCCTGGGGGTCTCACCACACGGCAGGCACTGCTGCAAACACGGTGGATCCGGGGAGGGAGGGCGTGTGCCAAAGACAAGTCGTAAGTAAGCTTGCTTCGGGCAGTAAAGCGCATAGAGGAGGGGCGCTGACCCCAGGCGAAACTACAGAGGGCGACACCTGGAAGGGGGAGGGCGGGGCGCTCTGCACAGAGGGTCGGGGAAGCCTCCTCTGGGGACACCTGGACCAAGATGCAGAGTAAGTGAAGGGCGTCAGCCGTGTGAAGGTTTGGGGCAGAGGGAAGAGCATGCACAACGGGACAGGCTGCAGTGTGGCATGTCTGCAGAACAGAAAGGCCAGTGCACGGGAAATGCTACGGAAACGGTGATGCGCCAGAGAAGGGGGTCCCTCTCCTCTGGCTCCTCCTACTACAGAGGGAGAACACCCCTATTCACATGGGCTGCCTGGCCAAGAAAGTGTTCAAACAGGGAGAGCCAATGACCAGTCACCTTTCTCCACGGCAGGACTCCTCAGAAGCTTGAATTCTAATGCACATGCTGGGTTTCCAGAAGGGACTATAACTTCCCAAGCTCTGAGAGCCTTTCCCCGTGGCACGGTTCTTGGGACTAGCATCCTCTGGAATGTATCTGAGGGAAAGTGGCCTCCCTACATTTTCAGGACACTCATCTGCACCTGGCTTACAGGCTGGGGGACAGGAAGGAAAGGGGATGAGGAAGCAGTACGCCCCAGGTACTGGCAGTCGTATTTCACCAACATCATCTTATCTGCATCCTCACTGTGATTCCACGAGATAGGGTTACTATTCCAATTTGTGAGGAGACTAAACTAAGCGAGTTTAAATCACTTGCCCAAAGGCACTCGGCATGGACAGGATTCCGGTGTGGATCTGTCTCTGTCCCCAAGTCCCTGCTCTTCCCTTCGCTGTCCTGTTAGCTGGAAAGCGCTGTGTGAACACATGGCCCAGAAATGATAAACATCACCCCAGCGGCCCCTCCCAAAAAACTCCCTGACACAGCTCTGTCATTTCTGAAACACAAAAACAAAAATCAAAACAAGGAAAACAAAACAAAAGCCTCTGCCTTCATTAAAAAAAAAAAAAAAGGAGGGGGGAGGGATTTCATACCAGTGACAGCCTGTCATAATAACAAAAGAAGGGGAGAAAGAAAAAGCAGCCCCTTCTCAGAAGGGAGGAGAGTGGTTGATCCCAATGGGGGAAGGGATATAGGTAATTTTACCAATAAAGTTCGCACACCTGGGCAAAGGTGACACTCGGCACCCTCCCCACCCTATGCAAAGATGATCAGATGTTTATAAATTGTCCTTTCTTGTTATACCTATGTAAGTTATTTACGTAGAGACTCAACCTCCATACAGAGGCAGATCCTTAAGTGATCTGACAGTCCTCCAATTGTCAACCCCCACAGTCAACTGAAAGGGCCCCCGATTGTGCATAACATGGGGTACCTGTGTACCCCTCAACTGGGAGAGAGGAGGCCAGAGTTCAAAGGCCTGGTGAGGGCTCCCCTCCTGGCTCCACCTTGACCCATGGCTTAACTCCTGTGGTTACTTAGCTGCAATTATGCCATGGGGCAGTGGGGGCAGTCAACAGGCAGCCGGTTTATAAATCATTCTGAGCTGCTTGGCTGGGGACAGCACATGCAACACTGGGAACTGGGAACTGGGAACCGGGAAATGAAGGGGGAGATGCTCTCAGCACAAGTGCTGCAGGATCACTTGGGAAGTGAGACCGAGGAAGAGTCAGCAAGCAAGGCAGGACTCGTTTTTCTTCCCGGCAGCGAGGCCACTGCAGGAAGCCATCCCAGCAGGCTCTTCTTCCCTGGAATTCTAGAAGCGAGCCGGTGGTGTGGTGGGTGCGGCATTGGGAGGGAGGGTCAGCAGCTACAGCGTCTGGCCGACCATCTGAATGGCCAGGTGAGCTGAGCGCGGGGTGGCCAGTGGGAGGCCGCCTGCTGACCACAGCTGCCTCTCCAGTCCCAGGATCTGAGTGGGCCCAATGTTCCAAATCTTGTGATGTGTTTAAGAGTGGAAAGGATTCCGGCCTTTACTCTGTACTCTCCTGACAGTTAACTGCTACAAGTAATTTAAAAACATGTCAAACAAGGGCCAGAAAAACCACAAGTTGCTGGGGCCTCTGGGACAGCTGTTTTGATACCTCTGATGATGGGGAAAGGGAGGGGAAAGCTTTGCCCTGGAAGTCCCGAGACCTGGATTCCAATGCCGTGTGGTTCTGCATCCTAACCCACTGGGGCGACTTTGGGAAACATTTTTCCCGCCTGGACCTTAGGTTTTCCATCGTTGAATGAGGGTAAGGAACCAAAGAATCTCTTCACGCCTCCTAGCTTCCGGGGTCAAGTCAGGGTGTGGACAAAACCATGGAGATGTATAATTTCAGAGCCCGCTGGAAGGGGAACAAGTAGACTTTGATAATCCCACGTTTTGACAAGGCTATGGAACAATAGTGATTCTGACAGGCAGGCTGGGGCTAGAGCGTGGCTTGGGCAGTGTCTTAGAGGAGAGTCAGGCACATCCATACAAGTGAGACGGGCGCGTGCTTAGGCACAGAAGTTCCGTTTGCAGGCATATGCCCCAGGCCACCACTCCCAACAGATGTTCCGAGAGGTGCTGATCCATTCGAGGGTGGGGACACTGGGTGAACCTGGGGACGGCGACCTGAGGCCTGGGCCGTCTGGCTGTGAGAAGCTTCCTCCTGGGCTCCCAATCTTACAGACAGATTCTTACAGAGTCCCCAGTCAGGGCACAGACTCCAGGTCTTCTGGTTTCAGCCTGTAGGCACCCACTCTGATGCCACCACTACCAATAAGTACCAGACTAAGTTCACTCTGGCTGCAAGGAATGAGTCTAGTCACGCCAAGAATTTACTGTCCCTTTGGAAGGAAAGTTATGACCAACCTAGACATCATATTAAAAAGCAGAGACATTACTTTGCCAACAAAGGTCCGTCTAGTCAAGGCTATGGTTTTTCCAGTGGTCATGTATGAATGTGAGACTTGGACTAAAAAGAAAGCTGAGCACCAAAGAATTGATGCTTTTGAACTGTGGTATTGGAGAAGACTCTTGAGAGTCCCTTGGACTCCAAGGAGATCCAACCAGTCCATCCTAAAGGAGATCAGTCCTGGGTGTTCATTGGAAGGACTGATGCTGAAGCTGAAACTCCAATACTTTGGCCACGTGATGCAAAGAGCTGACTCATTTGAAAAGACCCTGATGCTGGGAAAGATTGAGGGCAAGAGGAGAAGGGGACGACAGAGGATGAGATGGCTAAATGGCATCACCGACTCAGTGGACATGACTTTGGATGGACTCTGGGAGTTGGTGATGGACAGGGAGGCCTGGAGTGCTATAGTCCATGGGGTCGCAAAGAGTTGGCCACGACTGAGCAACTGAACTGATCTGAACTGAAGGTTGATCCTCTAAAGGCTAGCTGCCAATCAGAACTGCCTCTCTCTGGATGCTCTGACATGGAGAAAGTGGGAAGAGTTTGCGGTAGAGAAAGGAAGAGAATACAAAACTTGAGAGGGAGGGGAGGAAGGGAGAAAGGAGAGAGGGGGAGGGAAGGAAGGAGGGAAAGGAAGAAGCTAATTTTCTAAACACGTGGCCCCCTGAATGTTATGCTAAATTACTCAATCTCTGTTTAGAAATATAGGCTGGATAATGGCACGTGGGTCTGTGTGTGTGTGTCCAATCCCTGAAGCCTCAATTCCTGACGGCCCCTTTTCTCACTGAAGAAGCCTCATAGCTTCCGTCCAACCATCACTAGCGCTCCCCGTCTTTCCCCATTCCCCTTCTTGGTGCGGAGCTGGAACTCAGCTAGAATTCCACAACTGGACCTCTCATTTGAAACCAGATCCTGTTTTCCTGGGTCTCTGAATTTACTCCAAGTTCCACATGGGGACAGAGACCCTTGAATCCGGGTCAGAACACACATGCCTGGACTGATTTTGCTGTGCTTGAGGCTTCTCCCATGGCAGCTGACCAGCTATCATGCTGCCCTCAGGAGAAGAGAAAGAAAGCGAGGACAGAACAGGGGGTGAGAGAGGAGGGAGGGGAAGAGCCGGAGGAGCAGGAGGGAGGAAAGTCAGGAGAATACATGGGGAGGAGGTGGGAGGAGGACTCTGAGTGGGGAGAGGAAGGGCTGTGGGGGCGGGGGGGCCACACTTCACTACCTGGGAAGCAGCTGAGAGTCAAGTGGGCCGTTTCCACTAGAGCAGCTGAGCTATAAAAAGGGATGCTATTTACCTTGGTGCTTCGAGAATGAAGAAAAACATCCTGTGGCTTTTTACAGTTGTTGCTTATTATTCTTTTCTTTCCTCCTGGTTTGTTTGTTTTAATGGCATTTGCACGTTTGCACAGTCCTGTCTGTTAGGGTAAATCCCTCTTCAGCGCCCCAGGGGCAGCTGCGGTCCTCCCCGACTCCCCGCCCCACTCCCACCCCACAGCCTGGCATTCAGGAGGAGCAGCCTATCTTAGACCCAGGGAGCTCAGGGCCCGGCCAGCCGGCCCCGGGAGCTGCACCTCCATCACTTCACTCCGTCTCACTGAGAAGAGCTCATGAGGGAGGAGCCCTGGGAAGTCCTCTTCTCTCCCGGATGAGCCTGGTCCTGGGGAGCAGAGTGTGGTTCTCAGGGGCGGACAAAGCGAGATCTTACCTCCCACTCCCTCCATGGTCCTGGCTCACTCACTCTGTCCATACCTCACCAGACAGGTGTGATAATGAAATAAGATGATGAAATCAACATGGGTCCCCTCCGCTTCCCCTCTCACCGCGCCTACCTCTTGGGAATCACAGACTGTTCCAAGTGGAAGGAATCACAGAGAACACAGATCTTCACTGCTGTCATTTCACACGTGGGGAGACAGGCCCAGAGAAGAGAGGGGTCTGGCTCCCCATCCCACCACCAGCCAGAGACAGGGCAACGTCCTGCCCCAGTTCCGTGTGTTTCCACGAAAGGTCAAAGGACTTCAACAGACACTTACTGATGGACTTGTTTTCAAGGTTAGACACTTCTTACTGTTCACTTGGGACACGGGAACTGCTAATGAAGGATTCAAAGAAGCCAGCGCTGGCCTCAGCTCAACTCGGAGATGGTCTTGGTGGCTGGTTAGGGACGGGAAAGCGTTGCCGAGAGGGTCTGACAGATTTGCATTTTGCGTCGACATTGTTTCCCTGGGTTCTGAGAATTAACTTGTTTTTATAGTCTGGAGAGGCAGGGATGAAAAAGCCCTCTCAGGGTGAAATACAACAATGAATGATATTTAAGGAGCTCTTTTGCCTATGAAGGATTGCGACAGACTTTGCACAACAGAAGCTAGAGACAGTGGGTGCAAAACAATGCGGGTTTTGCAACCACCTTTTGTGTCCTCTGGGGGCAGGGGCGTGGGAAAGGCTGGGGTCCCCTCTCCCCACTCCTCCTTTCTCTCCTGCTCCCAGGTATACAGGGCAGAGCGGGACTGCCTTTCAGAGGGCCTTGCTTTGGGGGAGCCCACTGAGACCCCCAACTCTTTAAACAAACGTCAGAGATGCTGTGTGACTCTGGACCAGCCCTTCCTGTTCTGAAAACCCAGAGGGTAACATGGAAGTTGGACAATGCAGATATACTAGATGAGCTCTGAGGATTATTCCAGCTCAACTAGAAGAACTTTATGTGGAATTATGCACAGAACAGCATCAGCATTGCATCAGAAAGTGGTGATAAACACTCTCAATCAACACATTATCTTTGCACAGTGCCTAAGAGTTCGTAGGAGCACTTTCATCTGAGGCACACCATTCAGTTCTCACGACCACCCTGCCAGGTAGATATTACCCCAAAGGAGACAACTGAGACTCACTAGAGCTCATATTTTTTCTAGGAAGGATCCCCCTCCTCTCCGAGCTCCACACTAGGTATATTAACAGACACAGATCAAGGCACCGCAGAGCCATGCGGTTATAAGACAGACACCAGGACCACTGGGGCTCTCTCCCAGGAGGGTTATGCCTCTTGCCTGTGCTACTTAGGATGCAGAAGTTTCCAGTATTTCAGAGCTGGAAGACAGCTAATCCACCACCTCTTACTTCATTCAAATGAGGATGCTGAGGTCCAGAGAGAGAAAGTGATGCTCCCAAGATCACCCTGCAGGTCGCCGTCAGCGCTGGGACCTCGAACAGGGTGAAAGAGGTCCTCCTTCCACAACCATGTCTCTAGTGCCCTCCCGCACCGCCTGGAACTCAGAGTCGTGGGGTCCTCCCAAGCCCCAAGGCAGAGCCGGCCAGAGGCCCGATGATGGAGAAGGGAGAAACACACAGACCTTTTCCTGCAACACCCATGGCTGCCCGGATGCAGGGTCCCCCCAGCGCGCAGACCCGGGGTGCCTTACCTCTGCTCCGCAGAGCTGTAGGTCTCCCCTCTCTGGCAGCTGCTCAGGGTGACGGGGTCAAAGTTGTCGAAGGAGCGGAGGGCCACCCCCGAGATGGCGACCAGGGGTGAACTGAAGCTCACGCGTACCGCCTGGCTGTGGTAGAAGGGCTGGCTGAGGTCATGGACCACAGGGATAATCAGGGGATTGTTCCGGCAGCTCAGGACGTGGAAGCCTGTCAGGGGAGACAGAGGGCCGGGGGGCCAGGCTCATTACTCAAGGCCAGTCACGCCCTCCCCAACGGGCCCTTCCCGAAGCCCCCAGACCCTTTCATGTCACTGCACAAAAGCACCATTGGGTGGCCAGTGGGGATTTTGAGTTTGATTGAAAGTTTCTTTGTCTGCCTTTTTCTCTTGGCTCCAAATCTTTCCAATCCCCTCGCCTCGCTGCTCCCTAAGCTCTCCCTTCACCTAGCGCCCACGGCCCCTCGCTCCCCCTCAAAGGGCCACCCCTGGGCCAAGCCTCGCTGGCGCTGGCTTCCCTCCCACCTCGCGGGAGGGCTTGGCTGGTCTGAGCTGCTAGTTTTCAGACAGTCATCAAGATGAGGGAAACAGTTCACAGAAATAGGTCATTGTTGGGGTAAAAAAGAAGCCTCCTCTCATTTTTAAGCTAGGAACCTGGGACCAGCCCTGTGCGCGAAGGACCTCTGCATCCATTTGGCAGACAGGAGACGCAGAAATGTGGCAGGAGATGGCTTTCCAGGAGGACACAGAACACTGTGCCAGCCAGAGTCCAAGGAGAATCCAAACTGCTTCGCCCAGAAGCTCTCAGTTCTTTCTAGAAGTCCCCAGGCTTTGAAAAGCGGTGGGGAGCGAGCGGGGCGGGGAGAAGAGGTACATAAGGAGAGGGAGGAGAATGATGGGGAGGGTTGGCGTTGGGAAAAGCAAAGCTGGCTTTGGTGCCTGATGGACATCAGTTCGATCTTGGCTTTGTAGGTCTCCCTGACAGCTCAAGTGATAAAGAGCCTGCCTGCTATGCAGGAGACCCGGGTTTGATCCCTGGATTGGGAAGATCCCCTGGAGAAGGGTGCGGCTACCCACTCCAGTGTTCTTGCCTGGGGAATCCCATGGACAGGAAGACCTGGTGGGTTACAGTCCATGGGGTTGTAAAGAGTCAGACACGACTGAGGGATTGACATGGATAACAGATACTCACTTCTTTACCATGTGAGCCCACCAAGCCCCTGACCCTCAGTGTCGGCCTCTAAAAAGTGAGATCACCCTGACCAAGCGCTGGGAGTCCTGCTCTGCTCGGGCGTGAGGCGCCCAGTCTAGCAGGTCTGTATCTGGGGTCCACTGGCATAGAGCCGCAGAGCCTCCATGGGAACGCCAGGGTGCTGAGGATGCAGGACCGGGGAGCCAATGGGGAGGGAAAGATGGACACTTGGGCATCAAATAGCAAGATCCAAAGATCTCTGCTGGAGCCCGAGTCTTTCCATTCCTCTGAAAACCTCTCCACAGAGCCCTTTGCGATGCCAGGACAGCTATGAAAATATTTGCTTCTCGCTTAGGGACATTTCCCAGGAATCTGGATAAATCCAGAGGGGTTTCCTTTCCCTTCCTTATTAATGCATTTCCCCCTTGCCTTGAAAACTGACCAAATAAGTAAACATAAAAACAAAACAAAACCCCTCCCCACTGCCTGAGCTGCGGCTTGACCCCGACGTAACCCCTGGCGAGTCTGCTTCCTATGGGGCTTTGAAACGAGCTCCCTGCGGAATCGTATGGGCACAGCTTTGAAGCCGGGACTTCTGCGCCGGCCTGGAATTCCAGAGTAGGCTGAGCAGGGTGTCTGGGCAGTGTGGGAGGGGGTGGTGGGGCTTTCTGAGTGTGGGGTCTTGTGCTCGGCACGGGTCACCACATCTCAAGTGAGAGCTCATTTGCTATGGCGGACGCTCCTGGTTACAGGGTGAAGGGCAGTGGGCGCTGATTCTGAAACCCCGGCTTCCCTGCTTGCTGGCTAGCTCTGGCCATGTGACCCGGGCCTCTCAATGTGTCTCTTTGGGTCTCAGGTGATGATACATACAATGGAAAAGCATCTTTATTCAGTCAAAAGAGGACTTTGACCTGAATCTCCTACCCCCATACCCATCTGATTCGGGCTTCTCTAGGTGCACACAGACTCATCCTGATCTGAAGACAACCTGATGGTAAATAGAGCAGCAAGAAGAGGCGACAGGAGGCGAGAACTCATTCTCAGCCTATCCTTACAAACCACCCACGGGCAGATGGGGAGGCAGGTAGCAAGAGCAAGCCATACGCTCACCTAGATCGTGGCTCTGTTCTTTGGTATCAAGCAGCTGGACGCTGATGGTTTCCTGCTTTTGGTCCCCATAGTAGGTCCCATCGGTCACCAGGTGGACGATGACGGCGGTAGCGACCATTGGTTGAGAAAAGTATGCCTGAAATGCAGGAGACCCAGGAGGCTCAGCCATGCAGCTAGGCATGTGGTCGTACCCCCCTGGGGCAGGGGTTTTGAGAAGAATCTTCCATTTCGGGAGCTGGACTACTTATCATGGTCCATGGTGGTAAGGGGAGGCAGCGAAACCTCAGAGCAAAGAGCATGGCCTCTGAGGTCAGAGACTGTTTTCATCTTGGCTCTGTTCTTTTCAAGCTGTGTGATGCCCAGTGATGACTGAGCCACTCTGAGCCTAAATTCCCTACCCTCTAAGTCATGGATCTGTAAATAGGTGCATCACAGGATGCCTGGCAGGCTCCTGCAAGATACTAAGAGTCCAGCACACACTAAAACCATGTGAAATGAGGCTTGTTATTCATCACTGCTCCATGCTGACCAACCTCTGCACTAGCCATCAAGGAGACAAAGGTAAATAAGATGTGCCTTTGCATTTCTGTAGATGGCGGAGTTCCACGTGGGTGAGTAACACACACTACCAACACTTGAAACAATCGCAGTCCAGTCAGGCAGATGGGTCCGTGGACAGCTACAGAATACCATGGCACATGACGAGTGTCACCCAACAGATGACCACATGTGGAGGACTAGAAGGGAAAGGAGAGTTCCTTCTCCCTGGAGGGCTCAGTGAAGACTTCAAGGCAAGACGATTTAACAGAACGACATCTAAATGATATCTAAACTCTCGGCCAAAACAAGACTGACTGAAGGCATCCCATGAGCAATTAAGGGATTCCATTCCAGGAAGCATCCTGCTGCTAACCGTTTTGTTCTCTGTCCTTTCCGTTAACACCCTCAGCGGGTAGACAAAACCATCCTGAGAAAGGGCCAAGGGAGACAGTGCTTCCCCGGGGGCCTCGCTGAACAGTCTGTGGCTCTCAAAGCTTTGACTTACCCGGACCCAGAAAGTGGTCTGAGCCAGCTGGGAATACGGGTAGCTCATGGTGCAAGGGTACCAGGCGTGCTGGGAGATGCCTTCGCTGAGATCGATCACCTTGGTCCGACACACCTGGAAAAAAATAAATAAATAAATCAAGGGAAACACATGTCTTAGAGGGTTTTAGAGGTTGAAATAAATTCAACTCGACAACACCTCACTATCCACCTGTTCTGTTCTTGACACTGCAGGAAAAAACAGTGATGAACAGACAAGAGTCTATTCCAGGAGCCCACATTCTAATAATGCAGATGAGAAAACCTTCCATGGCAGTCAGCAAAAGAGGGATAACACATTTGGGTGGCAGAGATGTCAGAGAAGTTCTTGTGGGGATATGTCCTGGAGGAGCTGACACTTGAGTTGGGTCTGGAAGAATAGGGTGGCTGCACATGGAAGGGTACTGCCCATGGAAGGAACAGAAGTAAAGGCTCAGAGGAAAGCGGAAGCCCAGGATGATGAACTGCCTGGTATAATCAGAACTTGGGGAAAGTGGCAGCAAAGGCAGGCCTGACGGCCTGAATCTGTCACGGACTCTGAATACCAAGCATCCCTTCAGGACAAATCTGTAAACTGTGCTCAGAGCCAGATTAATGACACAGACCGGAACAGTGTCAGCATCTGTTCTCCCCAAAGGATATCGGCTCCACCATTTGGGTGTGTGTGTGAGTGTCTACATATACACACAGCCCCTCGTTCTCAATGACAGACATACCGAATGACACTCCAAGAAACACGAAGCAGGTATAGACAAGTAGAATTCTTCAAACTGAGGAATTTCCTGTCCTAATGTCATTTCATCCCATTGGTTCAGTCATTCATTCCAATACTATTTACTGAGTAACTGCAATTGGTCAAACACTCTGGTACAAGACAGCAGACGAGGCAGACAGGGAGAGGAGCTTGGGGTGACAGCGGGTGCAGGCACTCATCAAGGAATCACATGTGTCTACGTAACTGCCAGCTGCAGACCAGAAAAGAACTAGGATGGAAGAGGAGAAGAACAGCTACGGTACTCTTGAGATACGTCAGACTCTTTGCAAAAGGTCATCCCAGATTAGTGTTTTTCCTTGCATCTCTATTGGGACTCCTTTCTCAATTTTCTCTGAGAAAACGGGCCTGTCATTCCACATCTGTCATTCCACAAGAATCTTAGGTGACTCGTCTAAGAAGTAAGGCTAACCTAGAGAACTCTAAGGTCTTATAAGCTATGAAAAAAAAAAGTGAGATCATCTAATATCAATTACACAAACAAACATATGCATGTAAAACAAAAAAAAAGGAAAGGAAAAAAAAATATATATATGTACAAGGATCAAGACTATCCATTCCAGCAATATCTTCAGTAGCAAAAGATCAGGGATATGCCATTATCAAAAATTCTACAAACAATAAATGCTAAGAAAAGCTGTGGAGAAGAGGGAGCCCTTTTACACTGACTGTTGCTGGGAATGTAAATTGATAACAGCCACTATGGAGAACAGTATGGAGGGTCCTTAAAAACTAGGAATGAAGCATCACATGACCCAGCAATCCCACCACTAGGCATATACCCCGAGGAAACCAAAACTGAAAGACACATGTACTCCAACGTTCACTGCAGCCCTCTTTACAACAGCTAGAACAGGGAAGCCACCTAGAGGTCCATCGACAGAGGAATGGATAAAGAAGCCGTGGTACATATACACAATGGAACGTTACTCAGCCATCAAAGGGATGCATTTGAGTCAGCCCTAATGAGGTGGATGAACCTTGAGCCTATTATATAGAGTGAAGTAAGCCAAGAAAAGAAAAACACATACTGTATATGAACGCATGTATATGGAATCCAGAAAGACGGTGCTGATGAGCCTGCGTGCGGAGCAGCAGTGGAGACGCAGAGAACAGACGTAAGGACATGGCTGTGGAGGGAGGAAGGAGAGGTGGGACGTATGCAGGGTAACATGGAAACATACGTGACCGAATGGAGAACAGCCAGCCAAAAGGAAACTACTGCATGACTCAGGGGATTCAAATCAGGGCTCTGTAACAACCTAGAGGTGTGGAATGGGGAGGGAGGTGGGAGGGACGTTCAAGCGGGAGGGGACATGGGTAAACCTATAGCTGATTCATGTTGATATCTGGTAGAAACAAACAATACTGTAAATCAATTACCCTTCAATTATAAACGAATAAATTAAAAAAAGATCAGGGATAGTTTATATGCTCCCCTGCTGAAGAAGGAGTGAGTAAAGATGATACATTCACATGTTAGGATTCCATAAGCAAAAGAATATTAAGAGGACTGAATGAGATTCAAATGTGGGGATGATCCTGAGAATATCTGACACCTGGTTCAATATGGACCCTGGCCAAAAAAAATAGAAGCCCTATTTGTGAGTTCATAGATGACAACATAGAGAGATTGCAAAAGCATAGCATGGAATGAATAAAGAATGAGGTATAAGTGGATAAGTACATTAGGATTCTATTTATTAAAATCAAATGAAGTTAGACTATACCCAGGGAGTCATACAGATGAGGGTAGAAGAATTAAAAATAGCACGGAAAGTTGCACATCAAATTCACTAATCAAAGTCAAGCTAAAACACATGGCCGCACTGTAATCCACAATTGCAAGCTGCAATGCTTTCTTTTTAAAATAAATGTTTTGTTTTGGAATAATTTTATATTTACAGGGAACTTGCAAAGGAAGAAATACCAAGAGTTCCATATATGCTTCACCCAGTTTCCCTTAAAGTTAACATCTTCAGTTCATTCTTGAAATATCAAATAGAAGAAGAAAAGTGTCTTAACCAACTTTGGAGAATCACACCATCACCCAGGGAGTTCCTGTAATGGTGAGCTGGGTTAAGATACCTGGTCCTGGTTCCGACTCCCTCAACATTTGATGTGTAATTGCCTACTAGCTATCTCTCATCTTTGGACCTCAGGTTATCTTTCACATCTGAATGTTGGATTAGGTCATGGCTTTTCAAGGTGTCACCTCTGGATTCCTAGGGTTGCTTGGAGGTGTCAATCTGGGCTTCAGGATGGGGGAAGATGTGTTTAGCTTCTGCTCCATGGTTTCAACCAAAGCATCTTCACCCATCTGTTTTATATATCAGGATGCCTTGTACTGTTTCCTTTGAGAGCTTCATCGCTTTAAAACAGAAAAGTACTGAAACTTGTTCGCTGCCAAAGTTGCCCTTCTCCTTCCCCAAGGTGTGAGCGGGTCCTGGGAACACAGTGTCAGTTTCCTGAATGTCACAGGTAACTTCCTAAAGAGAGTAAAGGTGCCAAGAATCATCCATCTCATTGGCCAGAAATTAGGTGATGACTTCAGTTATTCAAATCCCTAGAAGCCTAATACCGAGGAGGCTGTGGGTAAAACATAGCCAACTTAATGGGCTGGCAGACTTTTTCAAGTTTATTTATTTTTCTCAAAAACAACTTAGTTCCGGCAGATCCGCCAGGGGGATCAGGTTACATTTTACAACAGTGCGAGACTTCGCATAAACTATCTATGGCATTTGAAATCCAGGCCAGCGATTCGACATGTATCCTTTTGGAATTCTTTCCCCTGTGTTCTTAGCTGCCTGTCCCCCAGCAGAGCGTGGTGGAGTGCATCTCTGGAGTGCTGGAGCCCGGGGCTTATCTCTGCATCTACAGCATGCACGGTCAGAGGAGTCTCCGACATGAACAGAGCCCTCTTACTGCCTAAACACAATTTCCTCTTATCTCATCAACTTGATCAGCACCAGACAGGGCTTAGAGGGATGTACTGCTGGTTTCCTATTTAGTGTTGTGTTTGTTTCGGGCTGGCTGTGATCCTGACCATGGACAGTCAAAGCAGATCAGAGAGGAACAAACAAATGTAGCTGAACCTTTGCCCGAAGCCCCAGCCGATGTTAAAATCATCTATGTTCCTGGGGAGGTGGGGGAAGGTTACAGGGGAAGTGGGAGGGGACACTCACAAGCCCCCCACTTTTACAGACCTTATGTGATTTGCTCATTCAGCAGCCATTGATGGAAGGGGTTGGCACCCGGCTCTCTCTGAGAAGAAAAGAGCCTTGCCCTTGGGCAAAAGGAGGGTCACATATCTAAGTGTGATCCCCAAGATACCGGATTCTATGCAGGTGCACTGCTTTCAGCCAGTCACGTTTTGTATCTTCTAAAAAGGCAAATCCAATTCCACAAAGTCTTACTGAGTAGTGTAGTCTTTAATGGACAGTTTGTGGGGGAACGAGGAGGGGGGTTACACTGCTCACCCCGTGGGGACTCAAGCTCTCCCATCATCACCCCAGAGGCTGCTCTTTACTCATCCTCTCTCTTCAACCAGTGTCTTCAGCAGCCTTCCCAACCTCTCCCACCCCCTCTCCCTTCCCAACCTCCACCTCTCTTCAATCCCAGGCAGAGTCATTCTGCTCTCGCTCCTGGCCTCTAAAACACAAATCCTTCAACTGATGCCAAGGATTCGAGCTTGACCCCCTGGTCAAGAGATGACCAGGCCCCAGAGATGTCAGGGAGGGAAACACAGCAACCTTTTGACTCTCTGTCCTCCTGGTATGAACGAACTCTCCTCCCTGCCTTTACATCACTCACTGGTTTGCGGGATACATCACGGAGGCTCTAGAAGCATTAGCAATCTCTAGGCTCTTCTAGAGAGATAAGGAGAGGGCCTCTTCTAGCTGACAGTGATCTTGCTGCATTGTTTATGCCCATGCTCATGGCAGTATTACTTGCAACAGCCAAGATGTGAGAACAACCCCAATGTCACCAACAGATAAATGGATAAACTAAATGTGGTGGGTACACATGATAGAACAGTATTAAAACAGTATTAGAACCTGAAAAAATAAGGAAATACTGCTGTATGTCACTACACAGAGCAATCTCAAGGCTATTCTAAGTGCACCCAGGTAGTCAGTAAGAAACAAATACTGTGTGATTCCACTATATGAGGTATCTAACACAGCTAAACCCACAGAATTCAAGAGTGGAATGAGAGCGGCCAGGGGCAGCAGGGAAAGTGACAAAGGAGTTGATATAAGTTTATAAATCAACGTATAAATCAACAATGAAGTCTCAGTTAA